CGCTCGAGTGAAATCACACTTTTTAATGTCCAGGGAGAAAATAGTAGTTGCTGCCTGTCAACTTCCGGTTGGGCAGCGAACGAAGCCATCAATAAACCGACCTGAAATATCAAGACAATAAGTCTGCCTGAAACCGAGGCCTTCTTTCAACAGCTTGGCATAGACGACAAATTGTAGGCTTGGCTACCAGGGTCGGGTGGTGCACCAGTCACCATACGCCATGCTATTAACGAATTCAAGTACAGATGCGACAAAACGTTGTTGGTGACGCAGTGGAGAGCAGTGGTCAGGACAACTTTTCTTGGCCGTGATTCAGAAAAAACAACTGTTTTTAGGCTGTTACTCTGTATCCCTAAAATTTACACAATTGCAAATAGCATATGTCGAATAGGATATCCATAAAAACATGTTTACTCGTAAAATCGGGCAAAACAGAAAAAATACGAATAGCTGCTGAAAACAATAGATCAGACCATAGGTGGCAATTAGGTCGCTCAGCCAGGTATGACGAGTTGACGACGGACCGTCGACTCACCTGGCAGAAATGCATGTGCTGCCAACAGGCACAAGGGGTCAACTCAAAGATATTTAATGTTTTTTCTTGTGTGTTGAATATGTCTCATCTATTGATTAACATCTAACGTTTCTTTCTTTCATAAAGTTCAGATATGATACCCATAGAAAAGCTTAACTCAGCCATCGTATTAAATGTCTCACAATATATAGATGGAATGACCACCCGAAGATCGACAGGACTGGATATTATTTGTAAATTTTTATGACATGCCGTTTACTACCCCAGTTTAATTCCCCTAAAGCATTATCTTATCTTAGCTGATATCTCTATCCCCAAGCCCGACACCACCCGTCATAGCTTTGCTTTGAGACGACCCTTCATACCTGTTTCTTTTTATAGTGATAGTGAGACTCCATGGTAGCTACATCCTTAATAGTTTCAGTATCAAAGTTATCTTTTTTTACGTCAACTATCGTTTATAATCAAGCTAAGTCTAATTTCGAAATGGGCATTTAAAAAGTGTCCTTTGTAATAAAATATCATCGCACACTAATTTGCATAAAACCATGGTCTATTCCAAATAAGTCGGTTTGGACTTAGAAACGCTCATTTCTGCACCAATTTCTCCTCTGTAAAGTCAAATTTTTACTTTTCCAATTTCCCTACCACTGAGATTATAGTTAGGCCGAACTTAGTTTAACACATATTTCACACTTTCACATATTAACTACATAAATTGTAGACGTAAATGTGAAATATCAGTGGGTTTTTTTCTACTTGCGACAGTGCTATAAGCCTTAGTCTATGGTGGCTGTGGTGTCATGGTGTGGGGCGATATTCCCTGATTGGGGAACAGCATGATATAGTTATTGTGACTGGACTTTCGATTGGCCAGCGACATGAAATGTTGCGTCCTGTCGGTGTTCCATTCACTTGGATTACCCGCGGACATTTGGAACTGTATGACCACAATTCCAGAACACATCGTGCCTAAGAAACTTAAAATTTATCTCCATCGAGAAGACATGTAGACATTGGACGTCCCCTGATGCCATCACGGGATACATGGGGTGTCTTGGAGCACAGTGAGACCCTGAATCACCCCGTGTCACCATCTTAACAAGCTCTTCTGGTGTTATGCCAGTCAATACCAAAACCACCAAAGTCAATGAACAGGTGTCGTTGTACAAAGCGATCTTAACGCCAAGGTAATCAATTGTAGCTCCTGTAGTTTAACGTAGACATCCGACAGTCTCAAAGCTACGGCCATTGCACCTTCATTTTATCAGTGGGCGGTGGGGTAGCCTATAGCTAAGATACATAGCGTTCATGTCAGTGAACGCTATGTATCTTAGCTAGGTAGCCTAGTGGTTTAAACGTTGGCTCGTCACGCCGAAGACCCGGGTTCGAATCCCCACATGGGTACAATGTGTGAAGCCCATTTCTGGTGTCGCCCGCCGTGCTGTTGCTGGAATATTGCTAAAAGCGGCGTAAAATCAAACTCAGTCAGTCAGTCAGTCATTTCATCAGTTCCCATATGTTTCGGTTGTAGATTATAGATGTCTATACACTTTACGCTATTCTGTTTGGCACAATCAAAATGTCAAGTCAAAACATAGGGAAATGAACTTGAAGCCAAAAGAGACTTTGCATGTGTAAAAATATTATCTTTATAAAACCAAAATGTAATGTTGCAGAAATTCTGTTTATAATTGTGTAATAAACCAATGACAAAGGTCATTCAACAGAAGGAATAAGGCTGCTGTAGTTCAAATATTGGAGACATCACGGCCGGCCCGCCATGCGTGTGGTCTTAAATCAGTGAACCGCCTCCGTGGTGTAGTGGTTAGAGCGTCCGCCCGGAGAGCGGAAGGTCGCGGGTTCGATCCCCGACCGCGTCATACCAAAAGACGTAAAATATGGTACTTGCTGGTCCCTGCCTGGCGCTCGGCATTAATGGATTGATCGGCTCGGAGTCAGTATTATGTGTCTGAGTGGGGTATTCCTGCTTCACTGCGGCATGGTATCTCAGTGGGCTAGCACTATAAAACCAGCTTCAGTCTGGGCTAGTACAAGCAGCCGCACATACACATACACACGCATGCACGTCGTCATATGAGCGAAATATTCTCCAGCACGACGTTAAACCCAATTTCACCTCACCTCACCTTAAATCAGTGTATGAAATAAGGCCCGTCCGACCGCCCGAGACGGGCTAGATGTCTGACGACGGTCTATATTTACAACCAGCCAGCCTGCTGGTCTGGTAATATTTTTTCGAAAACATGTTCCATACATCTGAGTAATTTTCTTTGGATTGTCTGGTCTGTTTAAATCCATTTTGGGCTGGTAACCTTTTGAAGTTACCAGCCCTGATGTCTGGCTGGGTTTTGGGGCTTATTTCATACACTGGACTAAATGGACTTTCCATTGCAAAATGTCCAACGATGAGAATAATAAAAGATCAAATGGAGGCTCTTGCAACCAGGATTGCTCGCGTTGTTCTGCAATGGTGTGTTTACTCTATTGTATTTTTGGTCATACTTGCATCCAAAGGAGTAAGTCCGTCGTACAGACCCAGAAACAGCCCGTGCAAGTCTAAACTATGTGGCAAGTCCAGATTATCACAGTTTCAGCCCTCTGAAAATGATTTTGTTTGTTGGTGTTTTACACCGCACTCAGCAATATTCCAGCTATATGGCGGCGGTGTGTAAATAATCGAGTCTGGACAGGACAATCCGGTGATCAACAGCATATGATGCAATGGGTGGGGTTTCTGTTGTGGAACAATGTCATTACTGGAGTATGCTCTTATATTTACAGGAAGGACTTCAATATGTGTTTGCGTTGATGGAGGTATAAAAGACATCCGGGCACATTTTGTGATAATACGTGTGATTTACGCATAGAGTGCACACCCATTTACTTGTTTTTCTCCAGAAACGCAAAGAAATAATGAAGTCAGTTTAGCAATGTTCAGACCGGAAACTGCCATGCTTGAATGGCTAGATCGCTGACCTTGTGTGTTGGCGATTAGGTGCGTGACTCTGGAGTGAGGGTTTGAATTTCAAATAGAACCATCAAAAGTACTAAAATCTGTACTCTCCTGAAAAAGTGTAATCCCAAATATAACATACGGGAGACCGGGGTCAATAGTAACACTTTTTACTTAACTTCTTGTAGTTCGATCCCAGACGACCGCTCACAAAGTTATTCGGTACTAACTAGTACATTGACATCTTGGCTTTAAACCTCAGTATCATTTAAAGTTCACTATCATGTCCTTACAAAGTTATTACGTATCAAATGCAATGACTACAAGTGTTACAATTGACCCCTAGCACGGGGCAATTGTAACAGGCGGATGGGGCAATTGTAACAAAGAAGGTTCAAATGTAACAATCTGTTTATTTTCCAAATAAAATGAAAATAAAATGTGGAAAGATGTTATCTTGATCAATCGAGGTGGAAATGGATTAACATTAAACCTTTATCACCATCGACATTTAAAATGTTTTGGTTTAAAATTCTTGTATTGGTATGCCCAAAATATAATACAAAGACTAACACCAAAATATGTCACCCGAGGGCTGATACTATCAACATAACACTGAACATGTTCTACTATGATAAAACTAGTAAAGAACTAACATAAAACCTTCATCATAATTTGCTTCATTATCATAACACAAGGGAAAATTACATAGGGGCAATTGTAACACAGTGTTACAATTGCCCCCGATGGTAGTAGCCCTGTTTCATGCCACGTCACACGTTAACAACTTTGGGCTTCTCTAATATTTCTATTTCAAAATATGTCGTAATACCTCAATTTTACACTTGTTAATTAATTTCATACTAAGCAACATTTACTGCATTAAGAACCTTTTATTACGTTTTGTGAAAAATTTACTTTCCTCTGTGAAAAACGGTTCTTCGTCAACTGTATCTCGCCATGAGCGAGCAGCTGAAAAACGCCTGGATGTGTACCGTAGAAAAATAAAGGGAAATAACTCAAATCACCTACACTTTTTATACTTGAGCGAAAACTTTTAGAGTAATCGCCCTTGTTACAATTGCCCCCGTGTTACACATTGACCCCGGTCTCCCCTATTTAGACCTATTACCTGCGTATATCTGTGGTAAGTGTGAACAAGCATCCTCACATTCTAAGCACTATTTATGTTTTTGCACACAGCGGGGGATTTAAAAAGAAATGGCTGAAGTCTGGAGTGACACTGGAGTGAAAAGAAACGGCTTTCCTCATGCTTTAAACTACCCCGTTTGAGAACCGACTGTTGACGGGAAAATGTCAAAACAAGTTTGAAGCGTTGTTAATTTCACACAGGTGTTCGCCGGATTGTCATGTGATACCATGACTTCGAGGTAAACTAGACTGGTATCCTGCCTTTCGCCTCCTAACGGTTCGAAGTACAACGAGGAGCGCAAACGCTGAAGGACAGACAGTCCAGTCTAAGGGTCAAACCAATCGGGGCCCACTTCCGTTGCACGAGTTTTCCATGCGCGTTAATTCAACTCCGGCTGAAGGCAGACGAAAGTTTAACAATATCGGTGCATGTCGAATTAATAACAACAAGCAGGTAAGAATTCATTCAGTATCGAAAATAATTTAGCGTAGGCACTTACTGTTCATGTATGTCTCTACTATCTGTACTAGTCATGTAGCTTTCTTTTGCCAATCTTGGCTTGTGAACAATGTGATGTTTATTATAAAGGGATACCCACGCAAACAATTGAAACATGACAATGCCGCCCACGGCCTTAGTTTTGAAGGATTGTCGCAATGTAATTTCAAGGATCCGTCATTAAAAGCAATTTACTTGTGGAATAACACGGTGTTTAACTGGAACTTTCATAAAAGATGTCCCCCAACCCACTGAGGGTAATAATGGCTGACAAGTTACCTGTGTAGTGTTACATGAAGCTTTAGGTCACGTGATCATTTGCAGCATTGAACTCACACTGTTTCCTCTTTTACAAGTGTTAGACTTGGGTACGGTGAGACTGTGGAGCCAGTCGAGTGCCGAGCAGTGATCAGTTTTTTATATTTGAAAGGTCGCACGCCTAGAGAGACCTTCGATGAAATGAAAGAAACTTATGGGGATCAACGAGGTCGCAGGCTACACTAGAAACCCGTTCACTTTAACAGGTACGTTTCGAATACCTGTGCCGAAGGTTTGCTGTATTTATTACTATTTCAACGCATGTTTCCAACCGGATGACATCTTGAAAACACAACTTCGCGCAAGTTAGAATTTATCTCAAGTACAATCATCTAACTAATTTACAGAGTTAACCTTTGAAGACAGCGAACTGTTGATTGACTCGAATAACGGTACATGATCTCAAATACATACGTAACATACCTGAAATGTGCATGATAACTGACCGCCTCCTTGGTGTAGTGGTTAAATGTTGTGGTTCCGATTACCCGACCGACGCTTGAATTCTGGTGCCGACCCTAATTTTTTTAAGCAGTTTAAATGAAATAAGCTTTTAGATACCATTGTCTTTTCCAGCACCAACAGACATCAGTCTTTCTGATAGAGAAAGTCGACATGATGGCCGAAACCTTGGGCCGAAGGTCATTAATTTTGTACATGACATGGGGGCTCACTTATTTTGTATATATAATTTTAAGGGGGTCATTCACATTGTACATGCTGCTCCATAACAATCATCACACATACACAGATAGAGAGAGAGAGATAGAGAGAGAGAGAGAGAGAGAGAGAGAGAGATAGAGAGAGAGAGAGAAAAATATTATGAACGGTCCCTTACGATAAGCATGGGTTACCAATTCTTACCCAGAACTGCTGTTTTCGTCGTATATGAAAATGGTCATGACAAACTGACCTTCGTTTAGGCTTAGTTTTGTCACTATGACTACACGCATGGGTTTTACCTATTATGCTCATGCATACACTGCAGTGGTACAATGCGGGAAACCCATTTTACTGTATGGATCAGTGTCAAGTCCAGAAATGGCTGAAGCGTACGTAAAATACCCTAAAAAATTTCTTGCAGGAACTGTCGACCTGTCCAAAAAATAAATAACGTGTAAAATATCTGACTTCAAACCAAAGATTCATAACACAGTTTTGAAGAAATTGATAACATATTAATTTCCAATTCCCATCCAAGTCCCATTGCACCAAAGACTTGATAGCCGCCAGATTAAACATTATAAGTAACATGCCACGTGTTAAATATTCGCTACTCACGTGCATAGGAACAATGCTGAGTATCTAGAAAGTTGAATTGAGACCAACGTTTTCCCGAGGCCAACTCGTACCTGGTCAGTATAACCATCTCCATATATTGGCCAAACACAACCTTGCATATCCAGTCTCAATCACTTGAATATTTATCAACATCGTGTCGCGACTGAATATTTCTAATATTCTAAGACCTTGTGTGTTTAAATCAAGAGCTCATTTCTAAGTTTAATTATACTAACCCCGCTTATTTTTTGGGTATACCGCCGCATGTTGTTTAGCTAAGTAGCCAAGGGAAATATCGCACGCATATGTGTATTCGCTATTCACCAAGTCAAGTTCGGCTTTTACATCTGCAGTACTTGCCAGAAAGGAGAGAGGAATATACATCAACAGGCGTTCTCTTAATGTGGTGATGCTGAAATTATCCACACACAAATATTACAGCTCTCTAGAGAGAGTGGGGAAATGGTCTTCACAGTGCACATGGTACCCATGTGTGAAATCGAAATCGAAATCGAAAGCGTTGGTTCGTCACACCGAAGGCCCGAGTTCTATTTCCCACATGGGTACAATGTGTGAAGCCCATTTCTGGTGTCCTCCGCCATGACATTGCTTGAATATTGCTAATTTAAGCGTCGTACAATTAAACTCACTCCAACAACTATACTTAATTTGTCATGACTAGGCGTTTATATCCTTCATATCGGCAAATACGTGATCTGGAGTATACGCCATTTCGGAGAAGTTCGGTAACCATCCAGTAACAAAGTCTATCAGAGCTTAACTGCATAACTTTCCAGGGATATAAACATTTCCAGATGTAAAAATATAAGGGTACGTTCTGACATTTCATTGTTTTATTTTTTTTGTAAACAGTTCATGTAAGGTTTAACATCATTTACATCAAACACTTACGTTCAACAATACGACTAGAACAGACTTTAACATGATGTGTTGTCGTTTCGTGACAGGTACACTCTTTTTCACATTTTCAACGACCTTTATGACGTTGGATTACAGTGTTTGCGATTATTCGGTGCAGCGTTACATATATACGTACGTCATACACATTAAATTACATACATTATGTACATAAAATTCATTACATTTTATGCATTATCTACATAAGAAAAATATTTTTATACATTATGTACAAAGAACACATGAAATTTTATACATTATCTTCATATAATACATTAGTTTCATACATTATCTACATACATTAAATTTATACTTTATCTACAAATAAAAAATAAATAAATTTACAACTGTTTTTACATTATCTACATAAAATACATTAGGTTTTATACATATATTATCTACATAAAATAAATTAAGTTTTATACATTATGTACATATAATACATTAAACTTTATACATTATCTACATACAATAAATTAAGTTTTATACAGTATGTACACATATCAACTGCATGTAGCCTACTTGTTATCACTGTGCATACAAAGTACAAATTTTCAGATCCAGCCAACCGCATACGGCTTCACTACATTATCATAGGATATGTCCTGAGAGGGAAGTGAATGAGTGTGTTACGTTCATCCGGGATTAAAAGGTCCTCGGACCCAGTGATGCCCGACTGATAGAAGCCCATACAGCTTCTAACTCCTGCTTCCTGAACAAGGAGAACCGTGTCTCCTGTATAGTGGTTTACTGTTCCAAGTGTTATGACAGAAGCAGTGTTTGCCAGTGTGGCCGAGGTAGAGGTAAGGACTGTCCCGCGGCAACTTATCGTCTGTTTTCTTTTCTACAGCTTCAGTCACACCTAACTGAACAGTCCGCCCAGTCCACATGTTCCAGGAAACAATGTGCACACTGAACATATCTTTAGAGTTGCTGTTGTCATTTTCACCAGACAAGTGCGTTTCTTTTATAGAAGACGTCTGACTGTCGTTTTCAGAGCTAGGAGCAGACGTCAAACTGACGTTTTCAGGACAGACATGAGACGTCTGACTGTCGTTTTCAGAGGTAGCAACAGACGTCAAACTGACGATTTCAGAGATGACGGCAGACGTCTGACTGTCGGTTTCAAAGCTAGGTGCAGACGTCAAACTGATCGACGTTTTCAGAGAGGACGGCAGACAAAAGACGAAGCATATTTGTCTTGAGCAAGCGGCTGATCGACATTTTCGGTACTGACAAAAGACGAAGCATAATTGTCTTCGGTTTCAGCAAAAGTAGTAGGCAAAGAACTGTCGATTTCAGTGTTGCAGTCGAAAAATAAAATGTCGTTTTCAGTGCTCCAAGGCGACTTAAAATTGACATTCAGAGTTTTCCAAGAAGATATAGCATTTTCAGACCTCCAGGAAGACGTTAGCACAACCATTGTTGATGCCTGTTGAACAAGCATTGTTGTCAAATAAACACCAAATTCAAGGTTTTATATGAGAGTATATACACGATCTGATTGTGGTAACTCCAACCCGAGTCTATCTAATCTCTGAATTATATTTTTTATATGATCAGATCAACTCATTGGCCTGCTATATTTATGTTTTCCTGGTAAATCCCAGGAATAATCCAACCACGTTTCTAAATATCGCACCGAGTGTGGGTTACCTGTTGAGTTCCACGGAAGTATAAATAATCCTAACACAAAAAACAAGCACTGATACCATGGACCCTAAAAGTCCACGCTGATACCAATCCGAAGCAGGCTATGGAAACGGATATCCCAGTGTTTTAGACAAGCTTACATGCATGCCATCCATCTGTGATAGACGGTTGTGTACTCACAGTATCAGGTGGACGTCGAACTAGCGTTTCATTGATCCTTTGGTCTTTATATAGCGTCGTAATCTGTCGTGGGCTGTACGTCAGACAGTCACGTGATGTACATACCCCGTGTTACCGACAGGTCGTAGCATGTATGTATTAGTCTATATATAGCGACTGAGGTGGTGTATATCTGTAGTTATACCTTGAGTCAGCTGATTTGTATCGGCGTCAAAGTACGTTTACCTGACAATCGCATTAATACGTTTGATAATATCGTCTGTCGAGCGTTAAGGGTTCACTCAGGAACGTCTTAAGTCGTCGTATACGGTGTTTTAACGTGGGCTGTTGAATGTTCTAAAGTCATCTGTGATTATGTGTAACATGTTAGCTATTTTCATTGTTGGTGTTGACGTCTACCCACGGGGACTCCGGATCAGTGGCAACATACGCAGGTTAGGTATAGTTCATCGTATTTTATTTTATTTATTCATCGTCAAATTCTTACACTCAACAACAAGAGTAACTGATCTTATCTTGTGTTTTCTTCAAAAGTGCGCATTTCAAGAATCCTTTCATATTCATGGCGGGTTCGATTCCCCACATGGGTACAATGTATGAAGCCCATTTCTGGTGCCCCCCGCCCTGATATTGCTAAAAGCGGCGTAAGTGATATCAGCAATATTACAGCTACATGGCGCCGGTCTGTAAATAATCGAGCCTGGACCAGACAATCCAGTGATCAACAGCATGAGCATCAATCTATGCAGTTGGGAACCGATAACACGAGTCAACAAAGTCAGCGAGCCTGACCATCCGATCCGGTTAGTCGCATGGGTTACTGAAGATCAATTCTTACCCGGACCTTCACGGGTTCATATTTTTGAACCTTTTAACGTGTTGTGATCCAGCTGGGGTAGGGTACGTTCCAATGGGTCCAAGTACGGCTTTGTTTTGGGCGCTCTTTAGAAGAGTCTTTCAATCGTGTCGTTGACTTATTAGTCCTTATAAATGGTCTCAACTATTTTTAAATTGAATCAGTGATAATCGTGATTTTAACGTGCGTCCCATCAGCAGCAGGAAGAGTTATTGTAAAACAACAATATCGCTGTCCATCAGAAAACAAATTCCAGAAGCGGAAGTAAAATGGCTTTTATCGCAGCCTACTTGATGTATGCTTGCTTTCTTTTTACTGTGTCTACTGAGACACGGGGGCTTGTATTGCTGGAAATAATACTTCTTAGGTCCAACACTCGTTCACTGATCGCCATCAATACATAAAAATAGTATACAAATGGCTATCAGTGAACGAGTGTTGGACCTAGGACGTATTATTTTCAGCAATACAAGCCCCTATGAGCTTATTATTATTATACCATTCAATACATCTCTGTTCCAAGCCACATATACCATCTTTCAGTTCCGTTACAATTCCAGTAAGGGTCCATTGTACTTGGCACTGAAAGCATGCTAGTGCTTTGGAAACTGGGACAACCCCTTCGCATAACATGGGAGTGGTTTAGATATTGCCTCATCTATGCTCTAATTACATATTTGGTGTTTTCAAACTATAACAATAAGGCCGCACATATAGTGCTGAACTCCATGCCGCAGGGACATGCTCTAAGCCCATACAACATGCTGGACATTATTACCCCGGATAACCCAAGCTGCCTGTGAGGCGTTAGATGGTTAATAGTCACATGACTTATCTCACTGGGTACCCATTTTCTGCTGGGTGAAAAGGCAATTTTTAACACAACACATGTGCTTAGTTGTGGGGCAGGACAGATCCTTTAGTGAGTGAGTTTTAGTTTTACTTTGCTCTTAGCAATATCACAACAGGTGACACCAGAAATGGGCTTCACACATTGGTTTGATTCCCCACATGGGTACAGAGTCTTCTGTGTGACAAGCGAATACTTTAATCACTAGGCTACCCCACCACTCCTAGAAGTCATAGAAACTCTCAGGAGTCAAGCTGCTGAACATGATAACTCATCCATGGACTGTCTGTGACCAATGTTGCTTAACTTTAACTGATTTGTGACCTGGGCTCTATGCACAAGGTTAGAATATTGATCTTCAGTAACCCATGCTTGTCGTAAGAGGCGACTAATGGGATCGGGTGGTCAGGCTTACTGACTTGGTTGACATGTGTCATCGGTTCCCAACTGCGCAGATCGATGCTCATGCTGTTGATCACTGGATTGTCTGGTCCAGACTCGATTATTTACAGACCGCCGCCATATAGCTGTAATATTGCTGAGTGCGGCTTAAAACTAAACTCACTCACTCTATGCACAAGACCACACACACTATGCCCATCAATCTACCAGCTGTTGAATTGAGACATAAGCAACAAGTTAGTTGTCAGACCTGTTTATTTTCATACATTTGCCATGCATCAACGAGTGATGGGATGATGGCATAGACAAGGTAACAGCACTTTCAAACAGTCTTCCACATTGTAAACAAATCCGTAAAATAATCAGCAACAAAAACTGAAGAGCTGTCTCTCCACCATACAACAAAAAAACATAAACAGACCGGCACGTGTGAACCTACTGATGTATGAACTGAAGTGAACCAAACAGAAACCAATCTGGCTTCAACATGACTGCATAATGAGGACATCTAACAAACTAAACGTTTATGGTGTAAACTTAAATCGAATTCGCTGTTAATGGTGTAAACGGTTAAAATGAGACCATTTTAAGATTGTCTCTGTGACACAGTAAAAGATCACCAATGTTTTATAGAATACACCTTACTACAAGCAAAGTGGTATGTACAGGGACGAAAAAGCTATGATCTTTATACAAACTGGAAGATAAATGACACGTGATTAATGACACCATGCATAATGAATCTGATATACATAAATAAATAATACAAAAGATGACATATTTACATTATCGAGCTGGACTGCATCAGGTTTGTTTTTTTATTAAAATGAAAATGAAAAACAAAAAAGTACCACATCTGTTCTGGGAATTATGTTTTCACAAAATTCTAACCGGTAGCAACATACTAAATAAATAGAAAAAGTAATTAGGTAAGAAACATGGTAATGAAAAACTACTATGCTTAAAGCTTTGTCAAAGGCATGGGCCAAGGGAGTCAATACTCGAAATAGAATAATTTCTTATTGGTTTTACCTGGTTTAGAAGAAGTTTTAAACTTAACAAATTCAATCCACTCTCCCATTCAAGTTAATAAATTGAAAACATGGACAAACAGTTCAAAAGATTTCAAGTAAAGCTTGAAAGTGGACCATCTTAATCTGATTTGCATGGCAAGTCAAAACATATTAAACTCGAGATCACATAATGAACTCTTTCTTTAGTTGACAAAACCAATCTGTGAAAAGCTCTGTTGGCACAACATTCCCACAATGGGCTAAAAAAAATGTTTGGGTCAACTGCCTTATTTCAGTTAGAATACGCTTCCATTGAAAAATCTCAACCCTACATTATAGTGTCTCAATTCCACTCAGTGTAAGTAATTAATATAACTAGTTAATCCGTACAAGAGTACTTAACATACATTCATAAATACATCAGTGATTTTGCTTGAAACAAATGGCATTGGGATATTTTCGTGATGTTACAACTTGAAGCATAACTTTGGGTGACAGTCAATGTCCTGATTTTTAAACCTGTTCAAAGACTTTGCCAATGACAACACCTTTAATTAAAGATGACTATTTTGTTACATGAAAATTGTAGTATACATTTTGTGAATGAAATGTTTAGCTAAGGTAATACAATTAAAACATTGCATGTTCAAGAGCCCTTAAGCACCGTAAGGCAACCACCTCAGAGAAAATAGTCGGTGTTTAGTTTAGTTTATTGATGCAGTCTAACTAGATTAGTATTGCAAAAAACAGCCACAGCCACCTGGTGTTCCACCAAGAGGAATATTACTGTCAAGTCATCCAACCGAGGTAGGTTTCTTAAGCATATATATATTGTAGGTGTTAAATTAGAGTAGAAATTCCAACACACATAAACCATCATCAAATTATTCATCAGTTAATAGAGTGTACGGTTTCACCTTTGTACAATTATCATTCACACAAACATCTTCATTCATTGACGAGGACAGCTATGAATCATGAGAGGGTAATCAGTGTCGACATATACAAACCAATCAGAGCATGTCTGGTAGGGTGCTGTGATAATCTGCTTCAGGATTCAAAAAGAGTCTACCACACAGGATTTGTTGGGAGCTGTTAGTTCACCACGTGATACATTCAATCTGGCCGTGACTCTTTCGTTATTTGCAACACGATGTCTCAAATTTCTCCATACATTCAAAATAATGAAAATACACTTCAAAACCACATTTTTGCCAGCAAACCATGAATGAATGTAGCTGTGACTAGTCACTGCTGTGGGCGATGGCAAGTAAGGGTTATGACGACAGTATTACACTTGATACTGCCTCTGAGGTCATTTCCTCAATGTCCATAAGTTCTTCACTGTTCTCCTCCTCCACTGCTGCTGCTGCTGCTGCTGTTGTTGAGTCTTTGGAAGAGTCTGCTAACAACACTGAACTACTTGCAGATTCCACACTTGATTCATGCACATCACCAACGAAATCTGCTTCCACCACTTCCGAGTCCGCACTTTCCACTGACTGAGAATAGTCAACTTCTGAAGCTATAGCTGAAACTGCCTCTAAAGTTGTCGTCACAGCTGTACTGACTTCAGATTCCTGTGTGGTGAAGTGTTCAACATCCTCCTCTTCTTCATCTTCCTCAAGTTCAACAATCTCACCTCCATCTTCTTCAACTTCTTCCTCTCCATCCATTTCAGCATCAATATCCTCAGCCCGTGAATCATCCTCCACAAGAGTAACATCCTCAGTTGCACTTGCATCCAGTGTTTCTGCTTCGACCTCTGCTTCAACCTCCTCTTCCTCCTCCTCCTCTTCTTCTTCTTCTCCTTCATCCTCCTCATCATCTTCAACTTCATGTTCTTCACCACCATGAGTTTCATCCTCTTCAAGATCTTCCTCAAGATCATCGTCCTCTTCCTCCTCCTCCTCGACAACTTCTCCAGCAAGTTCAGCGTTGACCACGTTTGTGACTACCCCTTGCAGGACATCAGATACTGTAGCCGTTGCTGATAGTTCCATATCCTCCACACTCCCATCAACCTGTTGACTGGACAGAGGTAGATCAGCGTTGCCATTGATGGCTGTAGAAGAAACGTCTGCGCTGTCCGGTGTTGCCAGCAGTTCATCTGGAGGTTCCTGCTTGATGGTGGGTATCACACCGTTCTTAATTTGCACACACTGAAAGCAAACATATTCCTCGTCCTCGGACACTTCCTCTTTGCCGAGTCCAACACAAAGAAGGTGGAACCATTTCTCACAACTGTCACACTGCACCCAATTCACCTCCTCACCTACAAAAAAAATACAGCATATCAGTAATCAGCCTAATGCTACTACTTTTATTTTAGAAAGAGATCTATTACACAAAAAATTGTGAACATATCACGTAGTCCTTCATGATTAGGAGGTCTATTTGTACATGGGAACGGCAGACTTTCAAAACAAATCAAATCTGTAGAAATAGGGGAAAGGTCTTTTCACTCACCAACAGGCTTCAGACACTTCACAGCTGAGCAATCTTCATCATTCTCTTCTTCATCATCATCTTCATCCACAACCAAGACGTCCTTGGACTTGTCCTTTTTGATACGGATCTTCTTAATGGTGGGTGTCTTCTCCCCGAGCTGTTTCATTCCCTCAAGCTTAATCTTCAGTTTCTTCTTCTTTCTCAGCTTTTCACACTTTTCCTTTTTGGCCTTGTCACCAATCTCCTTCGGTTTAATTTTACCAGAAACTGTAAGTAATAAGAAGCATGAATTAATTAAAGCACGTTTCAGTTGTTTCATTGTAAAATGAAGATTGTGTTCATAAAGTTTAACTCCTGGAATTAATTTTCACCTTGCATATTGTTACTAAGTTCAGCCAAAAATCCAGTGATCACAGAATGAGCATCAATCTACGCAATTGGGTCATTGTATGCAATTGGGATTCAATGACGTGTCAACCAAGCCAGCAGGCATTACCACCGATCCTGTTAGTCGCCTCTTACAACAAGCACAGGTTACTGAAGATGAGTTTTAACCCGGATCTGCAAGGGTCCCTGGTGTGGAAGTATGGCAATCTCCATATTTCCGTCAGCTGGATAAATTGATTGTCGTATCCTGTTGTCCCCAGACAAGCTTTAATTGATCTTGAAACTAACACTGCCCTTACCTTTATTCTCCTTCTCTTTGCTGTCCAGAACTTCCTTGTTTGGATCTTTGATTTTAATCTTCTTCTTCTTGGGCTTCTCGACTCCTGCCTCCTCCTTGATCTTCTTGATAACCACAACCCCTGTGCTGTCTTCACCCTCCTTCTTCCTCTTGATCTTGATCTTCTTCTCCTTTATCTTGTCCTTCTCCTTCTTTATCCTCTTCACCTTCTCCCCTCGCTCCTTCATTGTTACATTTGCCTTGTCAGGATCCTGAATAAGTGTTGGAAAATAAAGCATCATTAATCACTGTTCTCCGATTACACACTTACACAAAAATAATCACCTTTTCATACACCTTTTTAGGTTATATATTTGCTCATGAAAGAAAAAGCTTATAACCAACAAACAGCCAGCAAAGGCTCAGAGCTCATGTGGTTTAAATGGCATAGGTAGACTTGAAGAAGCAAACAAGTAACCCTTGCATCTCAACTAAGTGCCTAACCAAGATTTAAAGTTTGGTTCATAATGGGAATTAAGTGAGTATGGTTTTATGCCACTTTTAGCAATATTAGGGAATATCATGGCTTGGGACACCAGAAATGGGCTTCACACATTGTACCTATCTATCTTCAGAATGATGAACTGACGCTTTAACCATTAGGCTACCTCACCACCTCCATAAAGGGAGGTAACTACCCTACCTCAAAGTCAATGAATTTTTCCTCATGACGTGGCTGGCATGCCTGGAGTATCCGCCAGATATGCTGCGTCTCATCCAGGGACACCTCCAGCAGGTCACCCTCCATCATCAGCTCTTCCAGCTGGCATTTAGCGATCTCGGACAGCTCCAGCACCGGGGTTTCCAGCTGCCGCGGCACCAGTGGCGACTTCCGCTGGTGTTTCCGGGGGGTCATAGCTGAACAGAAGGGGACCAGCGTTAGTGAGTAGAGTCTTTGTCTTAAACCTCATTTTTCAATATTTCAGCAGTAGCGCTGTGTGCACTCAGCTCATCCACTACAGGAAAGATCCTCAAGGACCCAACACCGCATTTAAATTCATATTGGATACATATAGTTCCAAGCCTGTTTCTTCCGCATACCTAAACATCACACGCAATTATAAACATACTTACAATATTTGTAAAACATGGATTCACCATTTTGATGATATGCCCCAGAAATGGGTTCTGTTAACATAACAGATGACTCTTGAAATAATCCTTATCATGTCTTCTATTGCATTCTTAACAACATGCTTAAAATGAAGCCAAAATCCACAATATCAATAAATATGATACCATGCAGTCTGACAGTGAGTGAGTGAGTTTGGTTTTACGCCGCTTTTAGCAATATTCTAGCAATATCACGGCAGGGGTCACTAGAAATGATCTTCCACTGGTTCCCCTACCCAAGTGGGGAATTGAACCTGGGTCTTAGGTGTGACGAGCGAATGTTTTAACCACTAGGCCACCACCCCTGCAATCATTACAACTGAAACTTGTTCCGTCTGGTGATAACCATAACAAGCTCAATAGACCTAGTACCATTTGCTGCCCCATTAACTAAGCAATGAATAAATAATAATAATATAACACAATGTAATAGCTTAAGATAAACTTACTTGATGTGGCTTTAGACACTGAAGAATACGCATGTTCCGAGGACATGCTGCCGTGACTTACAGGGATGGTGTCAATGTCGGTGGATATATCGTCTGAAGTTTGTGATGACTGCGGGGACATGGGAATGGAAGATTGTGAACTGTCTATGTCAACGCTGAACAAATTGATCTCTCTCTGTGGCGTCCCGTTCTGAACTCCACTGAAAGCACTTTGAGTAACACTAGCCAAATGGCTTTGCAGTTCGGGATTATTTGCTGCCTTGAGTAACTCAGCGTTAATGATTTTCTCTGTTTTTTCACGGGCAGCCTGTTCAACCATTCTCTGGCTCAACACACTGAGTTTTGTTAAGGCTGAGGCAAGTTCATTGGTTGTGAGAGCTTGTCGTGCCCGGTCTTGCCACGCCATGGCTCGCTCTGTTAAGCACTGTAGGGCTTCCCCTTCGGGGAGGCGGACAGGGAGTTTTTGTAAAGACACCAGTAAAGAGAGGATAGTTTCCAGACGAGGGCGTCGTCGGGATCTGAGACAGAGGGGGCACAAAAATTTCATGTCTTTTGTTGCTTGCATCACAGCTGTTTGGGAAGTCTTGTTTTTCATATTGGCAGATTTCGGTAACGGGACACATGTACCTGTAACGACAGAAACACTTCATTAACTACAATAGATATCATTATAATTCATCTATTTCAGTCCTTACTTTTGTCTGTTGAAATATAGATTGTTGTTTAATGTCACATTCAGCAATATTCGAGCTATACCGCAGTGGTCTGTAAATAATCGAGTCTGGACCGAACAATCCAGTGATCAAAAGCATGGTTCTAATGTCGCTCACACGGTTCTAATGTCGCTCACACAGTTCTAATGTCGCTCGACAGATCCAACTCACCGTGAAACCAATCCTTGCACAGTTCACACTGCAACATAAAACCTGATGCCCCCTTTCGACATATACAGAACTTGGCTTCCCCTTCAGGACAGTGTAGTTTGTCCAAGTTCCGGCCTCGCAGGTCACGCATACACTCCACCTCTCGCTGCTCCGACACCTTGAAGGCTGCCACCTGCAATGAACCGGTATCGGTTTGGAAAACTCCAAGACATGCACTAAGGGTACCAAACAGTTTCCCTACAAACAAAGAAGCTGTTACACAAATCTGAAAACAATTCATTAAATGATTATAAAGTTATTGGTTGAACAAATTTGTTGTGGGAACAAAAATATCTTCAGACAGACAGAATTCCTTGGTATGTTGAATAAACATGACATTATGAACTATCAGTTTTGAACCAATATCAGAAGTCCCTTGTCAAGACTAGGACTAACAAAATCAGTAAACTCAGAACTAACCATTCCAAATTTTGTGTAGATTCATAGAGATTCTCTAAAAATTAAACCATGTTCTTTTAATTTTACATCAAACAATAAAAGTTTCATAAACAATGCCATACATTCTACAAGTTTTAAAGTAGTGAAAAAAGGAAAAGAAAGGATTATGACAGACAAGTTGAATATAAATGCTGGTAGATGTTTGAGAGGCATTTAGAAGTTGGCGTACAAAAGAAGGATAAGATATATTGGCGAAAAATTGTACTAAAGAAGTTGTTCACTCATATATCTTATCATCCCTTATCATTCCCCATTATGCTAGTAACAGAAGAGAAATATAAGCAGGAAGCTTTCAAATTTTTTATGTAATGTGCAAAAAGTGTCTTAACTGCCACAAAACTGCAACATACACTGACACACTTCAATTCACAAACACTTCAATCACAAACGTGCCAAAGTACATTGTAAAAGTAAATTTGGAAAAAAAAGCCATGTGAAAGTGCAGCAACCCAATTTTTGAGTGGGTGTCAGAAAAAGCAGGTTGTACTGCTACCACAGAGCACTGACAACAAGAGCACTAACAGACGACCAAGTAAGCCACACATTGGACTCACAATGGTTGCTGGGTCTCGGGTTTCTTCTACCTTGATGTCTATGGTGTTGTTGTTCTCACTCTCCCGCCGGTCACGCTCCCCCTCTCGCAGCTTCTTCTTTTTGTTCTTCCCACTCGTGTACATGCCGATGTCCTGCCGCGGGGACAACACCTACAGGTGACAGAAGAGTTGAAGTTGCATTTGCGATGGTATAGATCTGTTATTGCAGAGCTTAAAGCATTTGTGATTGTTCTGATCTGTTCTTGCAGAGTTTTGAGTATATTTGATACCTTAGATATGTTGTTGCAGAGCTTACAACCTTTGTGATGGTACAGATCTGTTGTTGCAGAGCTTAAACCTTTTACAACCTTTGTGATGGTACAGATCTGTTGTTGTGATGGTACAGATCTGTTGTTGCAGAGCTTACAACATTTGTGATTGTTCTGATCTGTTCTTGCAGAGTTTTGAGTATATTTGATACCTTAGATATGTTGTTGCAGACTTACAACCTTTGTGATGGTTCAGATCTGTTGTTGCAGAGCTTACAACCGTTGTGATGGCACAGATCTGTTGTTGCAGAGCTTACAACATTTGTGATTGTTCTGAGCTGTTCTTGCAGAGTTTTGAGTATATTTGATACCTTAGATATGTTGTTGCAGAGCTTACAACCTTTGTGATGGTTCAGATCTGTTGTTGCAGAGCTTACAACCGTTGTGATGGCACAGATCTGTTGTTGCAGAGCTTACAACATTTGTGATTGTTCTGAGCTGTTCTTGCAGAGTTTTGAGTATATTTGATACCTTAGATACGTTGTTGCAGAGCTTCTGGCATTAGTGCCAGTATATATCAATTTTTTCAGGTATTTCAGGGCACTTGTGATGCTATAGGTCAGGGCCTAGATTTTCAAAGCTCTCTTAGCGCTAAGATAGTCGTAAGTTAATGTTAATGAATGGCACTTACAACTATCTTAGTGCTAAGAGAGCTTCAAAATCCAGGCCCTGTTGTTGCTGTTGATCATTTTCAAAAATATTTCCACAACACCACAGAGGGGCACAAAATTTAAACCATTAGTCTTCCCTGATGCCATAATGCAAAATAAGGGCATGAACCTGTTGACAGCGAGTGTTACCTCTAATAAGGAGTAGGTGGAGTTTTTCTTGAGGAAGGTCCTGGCTGTCCTCTCCCTCCATGACTTGGCTGCGGCAACCTGCGACTCTACCTGAGGTAGTGAGTCCAGTCTCACGGGGATCGGGCGACCTTTGTTTACAAAGTTCTCCAAGATGTCCAGGTATGGATAGGAATCTCCATTCTGGGGAGGAAGATAAAGCTGGGGTTTTAACCAGTGCTACTTTACCATGGATTATCAGAGTCTATATCAAAATGTCTTTTCCTGAGACTAACATACTGCCAACATTGTCGAGGATTTCTAAGTAAACAGTATCACACAGAAAACACACTTTATGATAAAACACACTCTATAAAAGTTACTGAGACACTTACCAATAATGATTTTAGATTCATGATGAACTGTGGGTATGAGTGGTACCAATATTGTGATGTTTCACATATTTTCATATGACTTGCATAAATACTGAATTTGATGATTAATCAAATTAGAAAACTCATAAATTTTCCATTGTCTTTTTTATCCAGAAACACACTGCAAATGACACTTGTAAGACCTCAATGATATTGACAGATTTTATGGGCTCTGACACTTGACATTGTATCCCAATTGTGTAGATCGATGCTCATGATGTTGATCACTGAATTGTCTAGTCCAGACTCGATTAGTTACAGGCTGCCTCCATATAGCTAAATTATTGCGGAGTGTTGTGTTCAACAACAAACAAACCTACCTGGATGGCCTCTACCTTGACCGTCCACTCCTTTGCCTTCCTCACAGCCTCCTTGAGAGCACATACATTAGGCAGGTAGGCTGGTATAGACTTGGCTTCACTGATGATAGCCTCCAGGGTGGTCATCACATGTCTTGGTCTGTAACACATGTATACATTTAGCCATCGCGATAGAGAGATAGGAATGCAGAAACAAATCGTATAGTATTGAATAATTTTCTTATATATTAGTTCAAAGTTTTGCAATGATTATTATAATTACATGTCAATATGTAATGACATCTCTACAGACATCTGAATTATTATGAAATGTGAATAATGGTCTCAGTATAAAAAAGGTGGTGAGTTTTCATTGTAACAGGGCATTGGATGAGGACCAGAGTGTTTCAGAAGTATCTACAATTACAGTTAAGCAGCATAAAACCATACTCATTCACAAACACACTAATCTGAATTCCACTGTGTCATTGAGACAATCTCAAGCAGTTTCAACATAAAGAGTTACTTCCCTTGAAAGTACTGTTGATTTTTGTAATTTCATACCAACACGTAACAAATAACAAGCTGCATTCTAGACAGTGTGATGACAGCCAGTATTCTATATAGTGTGACAACAGCCTGTTATGTAGTGTGAGTAGTAATGTCAAAGACTGGATGTACACTCCAACAGTGAGTGCGTACCTGGCCTGCAGACAAATCCTGGCCTTCTCCTCCCATCTCTCACTGACAGTCAGCAGTTCCTGCAGGTCGGCCATGGCCCGTTCTACAGCTGAGTGGGGGGCCAGGCTTACCCCCGACTCCATCAACTTCCTCATCACTTCCAGAGTAACGTTGGGCCGGTCCTTCAGGGTGTTCCGCACCTCGTCCAGCCATTTGGCTTGCTGCAATACCTGCACACAACATGTCAGTACATTGTAGCTAGCAGAGTAGTCAATGAGTGAGTGAGTTTAGTTTTATGCCACACTCAGCAATATTACAGCTATATAAGGCAGCGGTCTGTAAATAATCGGTGTGGACCAGACAATCTAGTGATCAACAGCATGAGCATCGATCTGCGCAATTCAGAACCGATGACATGTGTCAACCAAGTCAGCGAGCCTGACCACCCGATCCCGTTAGTCGCCTCTTACGACAAGCATAGTCGCCTTTTGTAGCAAGCATGGGTTGCTGAAGACCTATTCTACCCGGATCTTCACAGGTCGCTAGCAGAGTAAGTGGTGATTGCAGCTATGTCAAAACAACAAGCTAAAAACACCTGTATCTACAACATATATAATTATTATTTAGGAAGAACACCCAACAATAGACATTGAATGTCTTATTACTACGTCATGTCATCGTATCCTAATTGCGTAGATCAATGCTCATGTTGTTGATCACAGGACTATCTGGTCCAGACTCGATATTTACATATTTTCCTTTGTATGTAATTGTGCACCCTACACAGCTAACACAATTTGAAGCGGCAAAATCACTTGAACCAATGCAATAAATCATTCTATTCATCAGGATCACAACACAGGTCTCATCATAACTGATGACAAATACACCAGCACCTGTCTAATCCGGCACACTGTAAAACCATTTTACAACAACATTATGATCAATCAAACATTGTCTAATCCGGCACCTGTCCATTCTGTATTCCGGCACGACTTTCCGGTCCCAACAAGCAATTTTAACTGTAATTAACACTGACTAAACCAATCAAGGACCCATAATCCAATACACTTATTAATCCTCTTGGCATGCTAGATAATCAGGAAGTAGTGATTGCGCGTTGAATCAAACACTCTAAGCTGGCATGGGTATGAGCAGTCCAATCAAGATGGAGCCAATCAACCATGTTGGAAAATGATCGTGGCCATCTAATCCGGCACCCTGTCTAAACCAGCAATTTATTTCGGTCCCATGGATTGCCGGTTTGGACAGCTTTCAATGTATTATTACAGGTACACATCTCTCAGTACTTCAGCAATTCAATATCGTTCACCCATCACTGGGTTTTAATGACGACAAAACCACAGCTACTCACCTGTTTAAGTTTTGGTATTTCAGGGAGATCAACATCAAGCACGATTCCAACTTCAATAAGTTTTTCTAACTTCTCAGAATCTGGAGTTTCAGCATCTAGAGCATCCTTAGCTTCTGTCTGGAACTTGACAACCTTATCAAGCAGTTCCTGCAAAGTAATGTCTGATGTTAAGCTGATGAAATGCACAAACATGGGTATGGTGCCATCAATCCAGTAATCACAGGCTTCAAAACATTAATCCTAATTAGGGCAAATCAGTGAATTGGAACCCATACTCACTGGATTCTGACACAAAGGGACAAAACTCTGCAGAGCTAATTGTGTCCTGCAATGACCCATACAGATTACTGACTTTTATTGAGGTGTCTCAAGCTCAATTTGATATAAAATATATGTTGCAACATTACAAGTGAAAATCAATTAGCCTGAATGTGTTGCGAAGTGTATGCAACATATTGGGTATGTCTGCTGGGAGGACAGAAACATCATTGGTTTGACAGCTACCATTTTCTAAAAGGTAATCGTCCTCCTGGCGCAAAGAAGCACTTCCTGTCCAGTGAACAGCTTTGACGACTTTGTGAAAATTGAAGCTATTTGAACAGTTTGTTCAGTACACAGAGAAACTTGAAACTCGTACTGACCTTGACAAGCCTGGCCTCCAAGATAACACATGGCAGACTGATGACCTGTTCATGAAAGATGTTCAGTTCTTCCAGATTTAACTTGGCTATGTATTTTCCCTCGAGGTTTTGGCGATTCCTGAAACGTAATCGGTATATTTTTCACAATAATTTAACAAAATAAATTCATCTTCTACTAGGGCCGTAACGAATACACGAGACACATATGATATGTATCTCAAATCACAGGTAATGAATACAAATATCTATTCACGAATACAATATTGAGTCAGTAGTTGATGTATTATTTAACTCTTTCAACACCAGTCAACCAGAGGCATTTACTGCCATGACACCGAGTTCCCAGAGACCCTGAGGTCATAGATGAAGCCTATGTTTATGAAGGAAATTAAAAGCTTGTAAAACGTTATTGCTACTACATCCCATACACCATTTAAAAGATCTAATCCTACTGTTGATAAATATGAAGTTTATTTTTATAATATTATTCAAATAATACAACTACAACTTTAATAAATGTATTTTTGAAAGAAAATGCAAGCTTACATTTATAACGCCCAGATAAACCACACGAAAAGAAGCAAAAACTATGGCTTATTTTTTTTCCATTTGTGACATGTGATAACATGCCCGTGCCTTTTCTTTTATATTTTCATTTTACGCCATCAGAAAATTATTATAAAAAGATTTCTTAAATAATATGTATGGTCAGCCTATTTCCGATATCTGTGGCTTTCCGCCGGTAGCATGACATAACAACGGAAAATACCTCCGCGCCGGCTTCGTGGTGCAGAACATGGCGAATCGCTTTGATGTCGGGCATCGCTCGAAAAGCTCTGAACATCAACAATATCACTGTACCCTTGCAAAGAGTATTTTCACAGTTGTAAGAAGCGATTTTATTGGATAAAGATTGGTTTCTAATGACGCTTTTCGCCACAGTCTGCTATAAGGGTCGTGATTGGTCAAAATCAGACACGCGACCTGAGGCAGCCAATCATATTACGCCAATGGATACCGCCCTCGTGAAACTAAACCCTTCAGATTTAGACAAAAGTTTTGGGTAAAATAATGCTATTCTGAACATATTAAGCAAGAAATCGCTACCTGTACGTGAAATTATGGAACTTATTGGACGATCGCGGCTAGGTTATGACCTGTGACAAAAAGGCTTCATGTATATATTTTCGATTAAACATCGTGGTCCGAAGCGTGAAGATTGAGGCGGCGAGAGCCGAGATGTCACTCGCCAGTGACTTGACTTGCATTACATGATCGCACAAAAGATGGAAATAGTAATTTTATATGCACGCTTTGACAACTTTTATGAATGCTGTTGTTGATTTTATTCATTAGTTTATTCAATTTATTTAATGAATTCCTCGAAACATCGCTACTTTGCTCTTTGACAATGTTATTGTAGACCCGCTGTCAAGCATGTGTCCGAGAATCGTTGTTTTCAATAACAATGCGGAAAATAGTTTATAATTTTAATTCTGCTGATAATATATGATAAATTGAAATTTAATAAGTGTTTTCGGACATTGTAAAATGTGATAGATTTAATATATGAATCATAAGTCAGGTAGGTTCCAAAAATTATGTCTCATTTTGACGTGACTACTGCCTGGCCGCTTTATCGGCCTCCGGTGTCTGGGGACTCATAACGTTGTGGCCGCTTAAGCGGCCTGCGGTGTTGAAAGGGTTAATTACTTATTGTGTAATGTTGACAGTGTTAAGTTATCATGACAGTGTCACAACTTCCTACTTACAGCCTTATGTTTTGGAATTTTTCCACTTTGTATATGTAGCTTAATAAATAACTAATGGGTTCAAGTTCAAATAAAAAACAAACACTTTCTGTAAATTATTCATGAATATTTGATCCTAATGACCATGAATAAAGAATTGAACTCAATAAGAGATATGATCCATTCACAGAAATGTGAGCGAAATGTAACACCCCAACACGTATTACGATATGTATAGAATTGCTAAAACTCACTGACTGAGTTTGGTTATACGCCGCTTTTAGCAATATTCCAGCAACATCACGGCGGGGGACACCAGAAATGGGCTTCACACATTGTGCCCATGTGGGGATTCGAACCCGGATCTTCAGCGTGACGAGCCAACGCTTTAACCATTAGGCTACCCCACCGCCCCTAAATTGCTAAATCTACTGATCAGTCATGGATAACCCAGAATAAGGGGAGATAACTTTTGTGACCTTAGTGGCATACCTTGTTCTCACTTTCTTGCTGACCAACTGGTTCGCAACATTGGCACATTTTTCTGCTTCATTCACAGCACTTGTGAGCTGCTGCAACAGCTCATTGTCAGGAAATTTCTTCTCCTCTGCCTCAGTGACTAAATCCTTCAGTTCTTGTAAATCTGTTGGAAGAAAAAAGAATTCCTTTTTGCACTAGAGTGATTATTGATTAGATAACGCTGCATCAGCAATTTTGCAGCTACAGCAATGTGAAACTAATCTCACCTTCCAAATACTTCATCACAACAAACATTTACACATGGAATGAGAATGTGCTTACTCTATAGTCAATTCCTTTAATATATTTTTCAAGTGATTAACTAATATTTTGTAGGAAGTGCAAACAAATAGCTGACAATGTTGACATGAATAGTGACTGAATGTTGTCTTATGCTGCTATGATATAGCATATCACACCAATCTGTAGCCATCAAAGTTAGGGTAGGTAAACCAGTGGTTCAATGCATGAGCAACTAGAATGCAAATATATGTGCCCAGGCACATACTGAACACACCCAATCATCCTATGACAATCTTTGGAAACTAGGGACACATATGTAAACATTAATTACCACGAACTATGGTTTCAATACGTGCAAAACAATGATAAGCTGCTGACAGTTGACAGAACCTGGCTTTGATTTACACGTACTTCCTGCAAGAGAAATAGCTGTTGATATTTCATCTCCTACATACCACCTACCTAACTTATCCTCCTGTGGTGCATCCAGTGCAGCCTTGACCTTTACATTCCAGTTATCGAAGGACTCGGCCCTCATCTTGAGCTTGTGCAGCATGGACGGCAGTTCGTCAAGTGTGTAGCGGTAGCGGAGGCATAGCTGAGTTGTGTCACAGTTGCATATGTGTTCTGTGTGGTACAGGCACACCACCTTGTCTGGAAGTAAAGTAATGCATGTCATCATAAGAAAAACAATTACGCTAAATGCCTCTCAAGATTCTGAGGCATACAGTGTTTGTATTAAGCCCTTAATGCCAAGACATGATAACAATAATGAACATAATGTAGATCTCTTGGAATGTGGAGCCTGAAGACTGAACTACCTGCCTTCTGCTGTAGAGGCAGGTGCTCTATCCACTAGATTAAAGAGGAATCTTATGGACCCATCACTAACTATATAGCTCCTTATATAATCATCAGACTGATCTAGTGATATGGTGATCATCCCATTAATGGGCTTCACACATTATACACATGTTTGGAGTGAGTGAGTGAGTTGGGTTTTACGCCACTTTTAGCAATATTCCAGCAATATCATGGCGGGGGAACACCAGAAATGGGCTTCACACATTGTACCGATGTGGGGAATGGAACTTTTAGCAATATTCCAGTGATATCATGGCGGGGAAATGCTTTAAGCACTAGGCTATTTCACACACACAGCACTAGGCTATCTCACACACACATGCACGCACACATGGAATCGAGTTTCCAAAGTATCAAGTTCAGCCACAGCTAGTGTAGGTTCTAGTGATCGTCACACAACAGGCTTCACACATTATACCCATGTGGGGAATCAAACAGAGTTTCCAGTATACCAAGACCAGCTACAGCCAGTGTATGGTCTTACTTGGGCTACAGGGACAGGTGATCCCTGACAGGAAGCATGTGGTCTTGCAGTAGCAACACTGGCGCTCATCATCAGGTAGCAGCTCAAACGCTTCTCTCTCGGCTTCAACAACACCCTGTAACACAATAAATACAGGTTCAGTTGAACAGGACTGATTAATGTGGGAGGTTTGGGTACTAATGGAAGTTAAAATGGACTGACTGACTGAATTTGGTTTTACGCCACTTTTAGCAATATTCCAGCAACATCACGGCGGGGGAAACCAGAATGTAATTTTTTAAGTAAAATTGATATTTTATACTCATTCTGACTCATGATCTTTGCTTATCTCCCTCTTCTATGCGAATGTTAGTGGAACACTTGAATCCTTTGTAGTTCCCAAAAGTGGACGTAAAAGTACATTCACCCACGAGTTACCTCCCTTTTCCCGTGCAAACAGTCATGTGACCAGCCTTACTTGTCACTCTCTCCTGATTCCTTTCAAGAACTACAGTAGAGGGCAGATCACACCTACCATATCCAACAACTTCTTCCTCAGCTGCTTCTCCTCCTCCACAATGGCCAGCATGTCTTGGTGTGTGGAAGCTGCTAGGTTGAGATCCAGACTGTCTGGATCTGCAGCCATCTTGCAGATCAACTCCTCGTGGGAGAACACACACTGACGGTGAAGGGAGCGATAGTTGTCGATGCATAGACGACCCATGCCCAGCTGAAGAAAGACCATACCATATATATAAGTAGCGTGTAAGAGCAAATTTGGTTTACAACTTTGAACAGTTACATTAGAGTCATTAGCTTAAACTTCAAAGGAAGGTGCAGACAAACCAAAAATGTTCAATTCAAATCACTAATTTTCCCAAGATGTCTAACATGACTAAGGGAGGCAACTCAGATATCTGGTTCCTTCATAATCTGGGCTACTGGCACCACTGAGTAGTGAGTGAAAAGGCTCTTACACTGCATATTCCATTTTCAGCAATATTCCAGATGAAAATTATTTGGAAATATTCCACACACACTATAAACCTAATTCATGAGTACAGGGTACAGACCTACTAAGAGCATACCTCCACCTACAATAACAAGAGTCATCTGAAGATGATAAATACCCCCTAGCCCCAACAAATTTGAAAGAACAAATCATCTCACAGTAACTTAAGTCCAAGTTCCATGGAAAGTGAAAAAGAAAAAAGAAACTGACTGACTGAGTTTGGTTATACGCCGCTTTTAGCAATATTCCAGCAACATCACGGCAGGGAACACCAGAAATGGGCTTCACACATTGACTGTACCCATGTGGGGATTCGAACCCGGGTCTTCGGGCGTGACGAGCCAACGCTTTAACCATTGCTCCAGGTTCTGTTTGATATATCTACCAATTTATTTTTTTTATTTTTTTTGTGAAAAATATCGAGCGTTTTTTTGAGATAATAACAGCGTAATACATAAGGGGCTGCTTATTAAGCACTTACCCAGTCAGCAGGACAGAAGTTGACAGCTTCAGCAAAGTTGTATCCCTGGTTGAAGCCTGCATGGTAGGCTCTGGGGAAGGTCACCACAAACTCACCAGCATGCTGGTTTGTACGGACAATCTGCAGAGGATGAATGGCAGTATGAGACAACTGCATCCATGTTATGATGTTTCACTGACTACTGCACTAAAGCTTACATTGTGATCATCATGGGATTTTACAGTCAGATAACTCTAAATATATGGTGATGCAATAAAATCAGGTCCATTGGTTTGTTGTTAAAGACAAGGCTCAGCAATGTTCCAGCAAAATGACAGTGGTCTGTATATTATCAAGTCTGGACCAGACAATCAAGTGACTAACAATACGATCTATGCAACTGGGATGCAATAGCATATCAACCAAGTAAGTGAATTTCACCACCTGATACTGTTTGTTTGTTGTTTTATCTACACTCAGGGAGTGAGTTGGGTTTTACGCCGCTTTTAGCAATATTCCAGCAACATCACGGCAGGGGACACCAGAAATGGGTTTCACACATTGTACCCATGTGGGGACTCGAACCAGGGTCTTCGGCGTGACGAGAGGACGCTTTAACCCTAGGCTACTCCACCGCCCTTCTCTACACTCAGCAATATTATGACATTATGACACTCAGCTATATGACATTGGCCTGTAAGTAATTAAGTCTGGACCATACAATCCAGTGATCAACATCATGAGCATTGATCCACACAATTGGAATACAATAACATGCATCCAAATCAATGATCCGCGCCCACTAGTCAACTTTATGGCTGTTGAAGACCTGGATCCTCACAGGTAGTTGCTGGTAGTGACTCTTGGTTCTACCATGCTATGAACAGTATCTAGTCATGTCAGGACGAGTCAGCTTTAAATGGAGGCCGATTAATTACCCTAATGAAACCCTTGAGCACTAATTTGGTTGCCAATTATTAACATTTGTACAACTTGAACTTGAAAATTGATAACATACCGGAACTCCTTTTGCCATCAGCAGATTTGGGTTCATGATGGTTGTCAGCTGATGGAGCAGGTCAGGAGCCTGCTCAAACAACTCTGGAGCCATCTGCATCATGGCTCTTTCAAAGACGTCCGCCGACTCACCAGGCACGCCATACCATGTCTTTGGCTCTCCCCTAAAGAAGATAGATACAATTAGAAATTTTCCAATTATGTAGTACTAGTCATGTTGTTGAACAATAATGTAATTTTTAGATTAAAATGGATATTTTATACTTATCCTGACTCATGCTTAATTGCTTGTCTCCTTCTTTTTGCGAATGATAGTGGAACACTTGAATCCCCTTTTGAAGCTCCAGTCAAAAAAGCGGACGTAAAATCACTCACCTAGTGTTATCTCCCTTTAGCTGTTTTGGCGGGAAATCCGTCACATGATCCAACATGCCCCTCACTCTCCCTGAAAATACGCCCAACACCTGGTTTACAGGAAATACAGAGTGCCATGATGGGAGGTTGGGAGGGCTTACCTCATGAGTCAGGATAAGTATAAAATATCAATTTTAATCTAAAAATCACATATTTTTCCTTATCCTGACTCATGCTTAATTGCTTGTAGAATCCAATGGAACCGGTGGTGGGTCAAGCCACTCTGGATTCATTGCTGATTTACGTCCTGCATACCCCCCTGAGGGAACTTCTTATAGTACTATGCTGATCCTTTCCTCTGATGAGTTTGGGGGGACCACAACTTGTCAGATTTCTCTGGAACCGCTTCTCCTGACATTAAGTGTGGATTTATACGACTCCATGTCTTGATGCTCGTATCAAGTGGAGAAGCGACCCTTCTTCATATACAAGTAAGTCCTTACAAGTATAGGGTCTGTCACTCATGCTGGCCTGTCCTAGACGTGCGCATGGACTCTAAGCTCTAGCTCTTCCGAGCGTTGGCTTTTACAAGTCACGTGATAAAAGGGTGAGATTCATCTCAGCGCCTTTGAGGAACCGTCAATTGTTGTGCTACAACAAGAGGCCCAAACTGGTGAATGCCGGAGACGTCCTCGGTAGTAATGTCTCTGAGGTAGTGGTTGGCAAACACTGTCTCTGACTTCCAATAGCAGCCCTCCATTATTGTCGAGATGGAGCAGTTTCCATGTAGAGCGAGTGTCGATGCCAGAGCTCTGACTTTATGAGGATTGGAGGCTCGTGGAGGCTCAAGTCCTGCTGCTTTGTAGGCCCTTAGGATGGCGGCTCTCATCCATATCGATATCGTCGTACGTGAGATCTCTGCAGGCATTTCCGTAGATAGAGGGATGAAAAGGCGCTTGAATGTTCGTCTCCTTGTCTAAGACCTTTGTAGGTAGACTTTCAATGCTCTGACTGGGCATAAGGATAGATCCTGAGTATCCTGTGGCCCAAGGACTGCCGAGAGTGCTGGGATGTGGAATTGTCTGTCTGGTTGACCGGGCAGTTGGTTCTTTGCTATAAAGTCCCATCTCAATCCCAGATGTATGATGTTGCGATGTGCAGAAAACGTATTCGTACAAAGGCCAGAGCATGGATTTCTGACATCTGAGCTGCTGTTGCCAAGGCGACCAGGAACAGAGTTTTATGTGTTAGAAACTCATAGGATGTCCTTTCTAGTGGTTCGTAAGCGTCACTGGTGAGATGCTGCAAGACTAGGTTGAGATCCCAAGCAGGCGCTTTAAATTTCTTTTGTTGCTCTTCCAACTTAAAGGAGCGTAGTAGAGCCAATATCTCTGGTACTTTGGTCAGCTTAACACCCGTCTTCATGGTGATAACCGTGCTGAGGGCCGCTAGGTATGTAGAGAGTGTTGAACCTTTTAACCGCCTCGTTTGTCTTAGATGACAACGGTATTCCGCCACTTGAGGATGTGTTGCTTTCATCGCTGTGAAGCCCTTCCTCAATGCATATTTCTCAAAACTCTGCCACTTGTCATCGTACAAGCTGCGGGTTGATCTACGTAGAGCTAGTGTGACTGCGTTCGCTGCTCTGGCGGAATATCCTCTTTTCTTCAAGCAAGTTTTGATACGTTCCATGCGTGTAGTTGGAATACTGTTGGATTTCTGTGTACTTGCTTGATGTGCAGATGAATTAGTAGGTTCGGCCACTCTGGGAGTTGCAGGGTTGGACTTCCGAGTTCTTGTATGAGGATGGGAAACCACACCCTTGCTGGCCAGTAAGGCGCGACCAAAATCAGTTGCAGCGTCTGCTTGATTTTCTGCAACACCTGCGGTATTAGAGCTGGAGGTGGAAACACGTAAGCATTTAGTCCTTCCCAAGAGAGATGCTTAGAGCATCTGTTGCCCATTCTTGTGGATCTGGAACCAGAGAGACGAATGTTGGTATCTGTTTGTTGAACCTTGTAGCAAACAGGTCTATCAGCGGAGATCCTATCCTCTGTATGATGCATCTGAAAGCTTCTGGATTATATAACATCCATTCCGTCGGGGATGGTTGTGTTGGACGAGATAGGGCGTCTGCTATCACATTCTTGGCTCCGGGAATGTGACATGCTTTTAAGTCGACATTCAGGTTGTCTATTATGCTGAACAGATGAAAGCTGAGGTCTAGAAGATTCCTTGACCTTGTTGATCCTTGTTTGTTGATGTAGAACGCCACTGTGGAGTATGAATCATCAGTTGTGCGTTCCTTAGTATGCTGGACCAGTGTAGTAAGGCGTTTATTACTGCTTTCATCTCGAGCATGTTGATGTGCAGACTTTGCTCCTTACTCGACCATTTCCCTGCTGCCACTTCATTGTCGAGGTGGGCTCCCTATCCTTGAAGTGATGCATCTACGTAGAGATGAGTGTTGTACTCCGGCTCTGATAAGTAGGCTCCTCCGCAAACATTCGACTTCCGAGTCCACCATAGAAGATATGGTTTCAGTCCGTCCGGTAGTCCGAAGGAGTCCAGACTGTCTAGATGAGCGTTCACGAACACTTGTACTGGGCGCAGTTGTAGCCTTCCTCTGCGTGTCATGTCGTGTGCTGACGTGAGAAGACCAAGTAGGCTCTGCCAACTTCGTAGTGGTAACGAGGAGAGTAGTGCTTGAGATATCATTTGCTGTATCTTGACCCAACGCTCCTCTGGGACGACTATACGATTCTGCAATGTGATGAGCCGTATTCCTAGGAATTGCAGATCCTGTGTGGGTTCTAGTTCCGACTTGAGGAGATTTACTAGCCATCCTAGTTGAGTAAGTAGCCTGATTGTGAAGTCTAGCTGCAGTCTGAGTTGACTGGGATCTTGATGAGTTTGAATCCCGTCATCCAGGTAAAACGACAATATGTGATGATTGGCTTTGTCACTCAGTGAAACAACCAGGGGCCCACGATATTCCAAATGGTAGCACCTTCCATTGGAAGTGACGTCCGTTGAAGAGGAATCGTAGGTATTTCCTTGAGTCCGGATGTATCGGGATGTGAAGATACGCATCCTGTAGATCTATGCTGGCGAGGTAGTCTAACGGACGTACAAGTTGTTGCAGTTGAGGAAGATGTATCATTCTGAACTTTGCGGGACTGCGTAGATAATCTTGGTTGAATTTCCTCATGTTGTACATAAGTCGGAACTTTTCCCTGGAATTTTTCTTTGGTTCTAAGAAGATTGTGGAGTAAAAACTGGGCGTGACTAACTCCTGTTTTATTTTTTCGATCGCCTCCCTCTCGATTAGAGTTGTGATGGCGTCGAGTAAGTTCTCCATCTGGTCGGCAGCATAGTTGTGGGCCAGAGAGTTGCTTGTCAATGGTGGTACTGCTTGTAGTTGAATCTTGTATCCTCTCTGTAGGGTCTGGGATACGTAGTCATCCTGAAGAATTCCCCAATTCTTCCAGTAGCGTTGTAGACGTCCACCGACGGTTGAAGGTTGTATGAGAACGGCTGGGGGCTGGAAGACTCCAGTCGTTCCGAACCCGTCCTTCAGCGTCTGAAGTTCCTGGCAACCCTGGGTGCCCTGCCTCTTCCGGGGTTACCTCTGGGAGCTCCGGTTGGGTGATGAAAAGAATCCTTGCCTCCTCTGGAGCTGCCGTATTTCTTTTCCCTGGCTACTTGCTGGAGTAGCGTTGCGACGTCTGACGGATAACACTGGCTAGTGTATCGTTGGACTTGATCATCATTACCTCCCTTGACTCTTTCGTTACTTCCTTGGCCACGTCCTCAATTTCCCCTGCGAAGATAGATGCTGCTGACCACGGAGCTCTGTATAGTGACTTGGTGAAGCGCTCACACCAACTACAGGAAGACAGCAATCCTTGTCTTCTCAAGAGCGTCAGGACCGCTGATGTGGATGCCAGATGTTCGGACATAAACTGATGATCTTTCTTTTGGGTCAGCAATGCCGAGTAGATCATTCTATCTTCTTCAGAGGTCGAGTTTCTGAACTTCGCCATGAGGGTTTCATTGATGGCTCTTGACCTGGCTAGACCAAAGAAGGTACGTCTGGTAGTTGTGTCTAGTTGTGCCAACTTTTTATCCTCCACTTTATAAGTCCTAGATCGGGAGTCGTTGATGATCTTGTAGTTCTCATCTATCTCTGGGGCCTTCATGAAGGGTTCCATGTGGTGAAGAGAGAACTTCTTGGCGTTGAATGGCGGGACGCTTTGACTCTGGAACTTCAATGCCTTCCTGAAGGCTGTGCTGAGGTTCTCCGGTACATCCGAGACAGGATCGATGGGTGGAAGGGTAAGTGTATCAAAGTCCTCGTTTGACATCCTATACATGAATGCTTCATTATCCTCTTTAGAAGGTGATTCAAGTTCCAATCCATTTGCCGTCCAAGATTTGATCTCTGTATCAGAGAATATGATTCCGCCATCATCTTCAGATCTAGAGGCTTCTTGTTCTTGAGATGGTTGCCATTGTGTCTCCTTCCTGTGTGGAGATCTGCGTGGAGACTTGAGTGGAGACCTGCGTGGAGATCTTCGTGGAGACTTGCGTGGAGACCTGCGCACAGGCGACTGATTCAGATAAGGATCCTCCCTGGATCCTTGAGACATATCTCTGTGCCTTCGTGAAGGTGTAGATTCTCTTCTATGGTATGTAGGGTGCCTGCGCGCAGGCTCCTGATGGCTGTCCATATCTGAGGAGGATGATCTGCGATGCTCCGGTGAACGTCTGGTTCTGCTCTTGCGCGAAGGCTCCTCTGGAATATCTATTGCAGATTCATCATTGTCCATGCTGGCAGGCTCTTGTGAAGATGTCGTGGAAAATCGTTGAGTGTGTGATCCTTCACGTAGGTTTCCTCCTTCCCGCAGGCTACTATCTTCAGCAGGATGCGATCTGCAGGCTGCTCGTCCTTCATGCAGGCTCGTCGTAGATGGGGCCTTCATCTTAGCTTTCTCCTGCGCGAACCTCCGTTCAATCAGGTCCAACATCTGCTGAGTAGACTGCTGCATGAAGATACCTGGGTTGAAACTCTGCGACGAAGGCTGCTGATGCAATGAGGACGACGCATTTGAGAGTACTGAGGCTTCTCCCAAGGACTGCTGCACTTGTGAAGACCTGCCATCTCTATCTGATGTCTGCGTTGATAGTCTGACTGTGCTGAGATGACTGCTGATGTTACTGTAGACGAAGACCTCGTCTTCTTCTTCACTGCTACTTCAGGAAAAAGGATGGGTGGCTTGTTATATACGACTACTTCATCTGACGGGATGATCTCTGCAGCAAAGGACCTAGTCTTGTGCGCTGCCCCATGGGAAGACTTCGCCGGAGTCTTATCTGCAGACGACTTCTTCTTCTGAGAAGACGATGCCCTAGTCTTCTTAGACTGTGACGAGGTTATAGTTGATGTTGACGACCTCTTCCTGGAGCCGGAGCTACCATCTGCCACAGCAACATGCTCCGTAGCAACAACTGGTAAATCACTGGAATGGTGAATGTCAGCAGACAGCAATAAACGGTTATCAGCGCAATCACTCGGTTTAGACATGACTTGTAAAAGCTGTCTAGACCTGTCCTTGGCACTTCTAAGAATGGAATATAAATAATTATTAAATTCAATTTCAGATAAATGCTGACAAAGTTGACAGCGAAAGCTGGAAGAACATGTAGAAGTACAATTAGGACATAATAAATGCGGATCAGCAACCTACAAACGGTATCTGCAATGAATGCAAGTTTTCATCAATTGTAAACAAGATGAAAAATCATGTCAACAACGTGAATAAACAGATAATTAGGACAAAAATTTCAAACCATATTGCTGGTATATCAATCCTAAATGCCGTATACAGCTAATTTAGTAGTAAAGGCCTAAATATAAATGAATATAACGCCGTATAGGGGACCCAGGCGCTCTCACAACCGTCCTTTAGGGCGAAGAAGGAGAGAGTGAGGATCATGATGGGTCATGTGACGGATTTCCTGCCAAAACAGCTAAAGGGAGATAACACTGGGTGAGTGATTTTACGTCCGCTTTCTTTAAGGGAGCTTCTAAAGGGGATTCAAGTGTTCCACTATCAATCGCAAGAAGGAGACAAGCAATTAAGCATGAGTCAGGATAAGGAAAAATTTGTTTGTTTGCTTCTTTTTAACACAGCATTCAGCAATATTCTATCTACATGGCGGCAGTCTGTAAATAATCGTGTCTAGACCAGACAATCCAGTGACTGATGCCATGAGCATCGATATAAGTGTTTGGAATACGATCAGATGTGTCAATTAAGTCAGCAAGCCTGACCATTCAATCCCATTAGTCACCTTTATGAAGCATGGGTTACTGAAGGTCAATTCTAACCCAGACCTTCACGGGTAGCAGAATGTGAAATGAAATAGACATTGATTTTGTTCACAGGGGCGACTCACCAATGCAGATAGTTGATGGAGTAGCTCCAGTGATCCTCATTGTGCCAGCAGAAGCTGGAGAAACACATGCCGACATAACACCAAGGGATCTGAAAAACAAAGGAAGCACCTGTTGCAGGAGGTGACCTTATCATCAACACAACATTTCCCAATACAAATTGTATCCAAAATTGGCTTTAATCATGATGAAATCCATGTGCATATTGTGAACACCAATTCACATGTCATGGCTCACAATCAACCAAGACATTGAGTCACAACTTGACCCATTTGGTCACCTCTAGAATCCTCAAGGGAGAATAACATTAGTGAGTGAGTTTAGTTTTACGCCACACGTAATATTCCAGCTATATGGCGGCGGTCTGTAAATAATCGAGCCTGGACCAGACAATCCAGTGATCAACAGCATAAGCATCGACCTATGCAATATGGGATACCATGACATGTGTCAATCAAGTCAGTGAGCCTAACCTCCCAATCCTGTTATTCGCCTCTACAACAAGCAAGCATAGGGTTAGTGAAGATCAATTCTATATGAAGAAATTAACAAAATGCCCACAAAAGGAGTTATAGATCCTTCATAAACATACAGCTATTCTTTCATGCCTGCTGGCTGTTTGTATATCCTACCTTCATGCCTGAAATGTCTGCATTGATATGGCAAAGCACAGATTGTTCCAGCACTGGCAAGTTGTTGAGATTCCAGCCCGAGTTCACATACTCCTGCAACAATGGACAAGACCACATGACTAGCACTTTCATCACACAATACAACCAGGAATAATAATAATGTCTATTTATATTGTGCTGGGTTCCATCCACAAAGGTGCATGCTCAGGGCACTACAATAGTGACAGATGAGAAGTTTACGGGGGGAGATAGTTTGTGGGGATAGAATTTCTAAAGAGAAAGGTTTTTAGGTTGGTTTTGAATGTCTCAAGGGTGGGGGATTCTTTAATGTTCAGAGGTGCTGCTACTTGAAACGATCTGTTGCCGTAGGATTTTAGTTTTGAGTTTGGTACTGCAAGTAGGCATTGGTTTTCAGACCTTAGACGTCGTGAAGACTGGTATGGTGAGATCAGTTCCAATTGATAGCTCAGTGCTGTACCATTCAAACAGTGGTAGCCAAAACACAAGATCTTGAAGTGGATCCGGGCTTCTATTGGTAGCCAGTGTAGGGACATCAATACTGGTGTTATGTGGCATCTTTTTGGTGCACGACTCACAATACGAGCTGCCCTATTTTGTACCTTCTGGAGTTTGTTCAGCAGATCCTGACTCAAACCATACAACAGACTGTTGCTGTAGTCAATGCGGGACATCACAAGTTGTTGGACTAGTGTCTTTGTTACGTCTTTGGTAATAAGATGGCGATTATTACCAATACTTCTTAGATGGAAGTAGCAGGTCTGGCACACTTGATTAACTTGGGCTTCCATTGACAAGGGAGAATCAAAGATGACACCCAGGTTCTTTGCTTTGTCGGCGAATGGTATGAATGAGTCTCCAACAGCCACTGACGTGATATTCAACTGTTGAATGCGCTGTCTGGGTCCAACGAGTAAGGCCTCAGTTTTTCCATCATTCAGTTTTAATCTGTTTGATATCATCCATGTTTTTATTGATTTAGTGCAATCTGTAGTTCTTGCAAGTGCATCGACTGCTTCGCTTGCTTGGAAACCTTGATATAGCTGGGTGTCGTCAGCATATGCATGGTGGTTCATCCCATACTGTCTGATGCTGGAGCTGAGACTACTTGTGTACAGCACAAACAGGTCTGGACCATGCACAGATCCTTGGGGAACCCCACAGGGTAGCGTGATACTTTCAGATTTAGTATCACCAATCATAACTGACTGGCGTCTGTTGCTCAAATATGAGCGTATCCATGAAAGTGGTATTCCTGATATACCCACTTCCTGTCTTCGTCATACTGTAAGTATACTGTGGTCCACAGTACCAAAGGCTGCCGTCAGATCGAGCAGGATAAGAGATCCAATGGAACCTTTGTCCACATAGCTCCGCAGATCATTCGTAACCCTGAGTAGAGCACTCTCTGTGCTATGGTTTGGACGATAGGCGGACTGGAACTTGTTTACCAAGTTGTTCTCATAAAGATGCTTTGCCAGTTGAAGGTCAAAAGCTCTCTCCAGAATTTTGGACATAAGGTCAGGTTTGAGACTGGCCGGTAGTTTGCAAGGCATAGCACATCTAAAGTCTTCTTTTTGATGTGTGGTCTTATCAGTGCCAGTTTATATATATTTGGGAATGTACCAGTGGTTAGACTGATATTCACGATCCTTGTGATCACAGGCAGAAGTACATCTAAATACTTCATAAGTAATTTTGTAGGAATAGGGTCCAGCGCACAAGTGGTGGGGTTTGATTTTCCAATAACCTTGACAATGTCTTCCACAGTGACCGTTTGAAGTTTAAATCTGAGATCTCCAGGCAATATGGAATCTGCTGTGTCACCCGTATCACTATCCACATTATCGAATTCCTCTTTGATTTTGTTTATCTTGTCCGTAAAATAGACACAAAAGTTGTGTGCTAACTCACTGTTTCTGTTGGCTTTAGGGAGTTCAGTTTCAGACCTTTCTCCAAGCAAAGATTTCATGTAGTCATGTAAACGTCCAGGACATTTATCAGACAATTCAGTTATCCTATTTTGACAATAATCTCTTTTCGTTTCTCAAATCAGTTTGTTCATTTCATTCCTGGCACTCCTGTATAGCTGACGATGTACCTCTAATCGCAAATGACCGCCATTTCCTCTCTGCCATACGCCGTCTGTGCTTGGCATTGAGTACTTCTCACTGTTGTACCAGTATGATGGTGGATGTTGCGTCACTTCTTTGATAACAGCCTGTGCATGCCTATCCAGCTCTGTTAATGTTTCATCATACATTTGTGAAAGTTCATCCACGTCCTCAATAGATTCATACCATCTCAGAAGAGGAGATTCTGATAGCTCCTTTCGAAAATCGGATATACTGATACCTTTTATGTTTCTGCAAGTTATTTTAGTCTTTTTTGAATTGGGCCTTGCCATGTCCCACAACATAGTACTCACATGGTGATCCTACATTTGTTTATCTTCCACATGACAGCTCCTGATGAATGTAGACTTGTAACAGTTACCATGGTTACCATATGTTGCTTCACTTTTGATTTCTCAACCATGCCTTTATTTCACATCAGTGCCCCGCTCCTCAAAGCCAGTCGTAAGTCTATGTTAAAATATGGGAGTTACAATCATTTTAGCGCTATGATCACTTTGAGGAACGGGGCACAGAACAATAAATTCCAAATGGCTGACTGGGTATGGATATTTTACCTCATCCTCTGGGCACATGACATCAGCCTTGTTGGTGGGGAATCCACTGCCCATCTCCGAGGCATGGATGTCCGCTCCATACTGTACAGACACCTCCTCCTCGATACAGCTGACCAGTCGCCAGAACTCCTTCTCCACAAGATGACAGGGAACCATCTGCCACAGAAACAGGCGCCATCAGATAATAGGAACTTGAAAATACAGGGCCCTGCTTCTTAAGGATTTACCACTTAGTATTTGATGCCTGCTTCAGGATATACTGACATTTTCTCTGTAAGAAGGACCCAAATAATACAACCAGGAACACAGCCACTTAGTATCTGATGCCTGCTTCAGGATATACTGACATTTTCTCTGTAAGAAGGACCCAAATAATTTGATTTTTTTCGTAACATTTTTCTTTCTGACACCCAGCACACCTAAAGAATCATTTTTACATTAGTCATATTTATCTTTTTATTTATTGATTTATTTTTATTCAACAGTTTTTTGTTTTCCCATCAACACTCCCAGTCCCCATGAGGGAAGTATGATACTGCTACTGAGCCTGGACACCAGGACCCAATTTCTTGAAACAAACTTAAGTCAGAGTTTTTACTCAAATTTGAGAAAACACAGGAAAATGCATTTCCCAGAATAAACTGAAATCAATATTAAACTCAAACTTAGTAGATTATTTGAGTTTGGTGGATAGATTACTTAAGTTGTTTGGGATTTTTTTATTTAAAAAATGCAGTCTTGTTAAAAATTCAGTTGTTTCAAATTGTCAAACTCAGTTTGAAATTTGAGTAAAAACATATGTTTGTTTCGAGAAATCGGGGCCAGATCCATTTAGTTGTAAGCCAGGGCAAGCAATAGAAAAGTTAACAAGTCATTAAACTGTGAAGGTCAGTATCTGGGTTACTAGGGTCTAAAACAATGGGTTTGACTTTTACAGGACTAGGGAACAGTCACACTTGACAAATTGGGGCAAATGCTGGCCTGTTGCACTCTTCAAACTGATCATACATGTTAGGCCTAACTACATGTGACAAGTTAATGATGACTGGGTGTCTAAATATGGCTTCCGTAGCAGTCATGTTTATAACACTATCAGAATTTTAAGGGCAAATGTTAGAGACACCAAAATACAGCTACATAAACCTTGTAGATCTACATAGTATCTGAAGAAATATCATAAAGCAAACATTAAATGACAGGTAGACAACCATAAAGACAAAGACAGACAATCATCTTCCACGAGCTCACTGACTCAAGTGTCAGGGAAGCTAAAAATGAACACAAATCCATTAAACTGCACATAAATGGTGTCTGTAAATACTTACATGCACCGGCATGTTGAAGTAGTTAGATTTGAAGTTGTCTGCCATCTCACCAAATGACTGAAGAGAGTACTCAGTCCTGGACTGCTCAAAACCATATGGATCCTGAGGCCTTGAACAAGCCTGATAAGGAGAAACAACAAAATAATCAACAACAGAGCTTGAGTGCTACTTTACAACACTATCGGAGTGAGTATGGTTGTATGACGACTCCAGTAATCCAGCAATACTGACTGACTGAGTTTGGTTTAACCACTAGGCTATTCCAGCAACATCACGGGCGGGGACACCAGAAATGGGCTTCCCACATTGTACCCAGCAATATCCTGCATGGGAGAGCACAAATTGGCTTCATACATTGTAGTCCAGTAGAGAATTGAAACTGGGACTTCAGTGTCACAAGTGAATATATTAACCATTAGGCTGCCCAAATGCCCCCCCCCCAATGTCATGTTAAGTTAGTATCATCTTCAAATGAGTTTATCTGAAAAACATCAAGACACTGAAATAGTACTAGGCTCCACCTACCTGTTTCACACACTTGGGGCATCTCCAGTCTCCCTTAGGTACATCTACTAGTGGTGGGATGAGGCAGTAGGTGTGGAAGGCGTCGTCACAGCCGTCGCACAGCAGCATGTACTCCTCCCCATCTCCCCCTTCACACATGTGACACAGATACTTGTCAACCTAGAACATATAACATACATCATATAGGTACACAGTTACCTGAAACACACTGCACACATGATACAGGTACTTGGTATCCTGGAACACACTACACAATACAGGTGCTTCTTCACCTGAAAAACACAACACATATGATACAGGTGCTTGGTAACCTGAAATGCAAAACACAAGATACAGGTAGTTGTCAACTTATAATATGCAACACACAGAGTCCATAAGACAATACACACATACAGGGTCAGTCTCAAACAGCTGAAGACACAACACACATACAGATCCATAACATGTGTCTCCACACATAAGATTGGTATGTTGTTTAATGCTGTACTCAACAATATTCCAGTTAAATGTTGGCGGTCTGTAAATAATCAAGCCTGGACCAGACAATCCAGTGATCAACATCATGAGCATCGTTCTACGCTATTGGGACATGATGACATGTGTCAACCAAGTCAGCGAGCCTGACCACCCGATCCCGTTGTCACCTCTTACATCAAGCATGGGTTGGTTAAGACCAATTTGAACCCGAACCTTCACAGTTCCAACCTTCACAGTTCCACACATAAGTCCCGAAAAGGGTCAATTTCATACACCTTAACACAAGATATGCATACAAGGTCCATGACATACACTTTCACATATACAGGGTGCATCGCATACACCTCCACAAACAATATACTAGATACATATCATTCATCTCCGAACATTCGTAAAGGGTCCATCCACACATCTCCACACAATATACACTAGTAAATACTGACACTGCCTCGTCATATTGTCATAACAAATTCTCACATAACAAGGCACATCAGTTTTATATACACATTATTTTCATGTATGTCGACACCATTTCATTTTAAACATTATACATGATGATGAAGAAGCAGGAAGGAGGTGAGGATAGCAATGGCATACAGTAGACTCGAAGTGTGCATCGAATTATAGCTGTAAGTGCTTAACCTCCCACATCCTATCTTGCATTAAGATTATAGGTAAGTGAATGGACAATTTTCCTCCTCCTCCTGATATTGAGGTAAAAATTTCATATACACTTCTGGGAAAAGCTGAACATGTTACCAAAGCAAATATGATTATCTTGAAATTAACACATATCAACTGAAATTCTGTCAACTTAACCAAGCACATCGGACTGTAATACAAGGGGGATAACTATGTATTGATATTGTCTACAAGCTGTCAAGATGACCCTGAATCGATTCCCTTGTTATACTTCATGAAAGCATATGCCAGCAAAAATCAATTTGCCAACTGGTCTCTTGTAGCATATGGTGCATTGTATAAAAGATAACACACATACAGTGTACATAACACCATATACCCCTGTAGACCGGTCAAAAACCAATAATATCACCTGGTTATAGCATTGGCTCAGATATATGCCCCAGCTTGCTATGATGTGCAGAAAATATTGTAGTAGTGAGGTATCACACACAGGACTTAAAGAGTTACCTGGATAGTGGAAAATACAGGCTTAGTGATGCATGTCAGAAATGTATTTATTTTTCAAGTGTGCCTCTGGGTACTTTTTTGTGTTGTTACGAGTGCCCTTTCAAATAAAGGTAAAACAAAAAGAGGAATTCTGAACTCGCTGAATGTCATTTCACCAAAGCAAGATAATAGACAGTTGTAAGTTAGAATATTTCACCCCTTGATTATAATTGATATTGATTACATTTACTATTCGGAATATCAACATATATTTTGTGAACTGTACTGTGATTTAGCCATTCCTCACATGTTTGCCTATTTATTTGTGGTTTCTTACAATACACATAGCCACATAGAAATGATGGTGCAAATACGATTTCAACATGTTTTAGGAATTAGGAAGTTGTGTGGGCCATTGATCTTTTGAAGATGTAATTTACACTTAAAACACCTGTATTTCAACCCCTGCCAATGTTGTCTCAATCTTCTGACTGGTTGAGATCTTCACTTTGAAAAATGGACTATTAAAATTAGAAATGGAATTAACTCATTACACTGAGGTGGGGAATCGAAACCTGGTTTTCGGCATGACAAGTGAATGCTTTAACCATATGGCTACCCTACCACACTTGATAGAAGTTCTGTGCAAGAAATCCATATTGAAACCTTTGAATGAACATTTCATACCATACCAAAACCACACAGTAGAAGATATATATTTTTAAAAAACCAATAAGAATGCAAAGAGACACAAAAATATGTAAACATAATGATTATAGATTCAAGAAAACAAACACAAGAACGATATACCTCAAGTAAACAACAGACATATATTACCTATTACGCAATCTCTGAGATAATTTCAGCTATATTTTAATGTCAGTCAAAGGACTTACATTTGAAGTTTTATATATTATTGTGCTACAGTACACATATTTTCTGAGATTTCCTTCTTAATCTGATACTGAGGAAGATTTTAAATTATTTTGGTTATTTGAAGATCAACAAACATTTAAAATGATTCTCTTTTAATAAACAATGCAATTCTCTTGGTAGACACTGACGGATTACAGTCCAAAGTCAATCTACTGTATCAATATCTCGAGTATGGCCAAATGGCTTGATGCGTAATCCCGATTATTCTGATTACCAAGAATCAACACCTTGAAAATAGTTTCCATTATTTTGAGGAGATGGATTCTAAATGTTATATAACACTTTCAACACCACTCAACCAGATGATTTTACTGTCATGACCCTATGTCCTCAGAGACTCTAAAATGATAGATGAAACGTGACGTTTATCAAGGTGAGGGAGTGAGTTTAGTTTTATGCCGCACTCAGCAATATTTCCAGCAATATGGTCGACGGTCTGTAAATAATCGAGTCTGGACCAGACAATCCAGTGATCAACAACATTAGCACCGACCTGCGAAATTGGGAACCAATGAAATGTGTCAACCGAGACAGCGAACCTGACCACCTGATCTTGTTAGTCGCCTCTTACGACAAGCATGGGTTACTGAAGGTTCATTCTAACCCGGACCTCTTCGGGTGATGTTTATCGAGGAAAATATCAGCTTGTTAAGCATTATTGCTACTACACGTCATAAACCATTTCACTTTTAATAGATATGAAAGTTTTAAGCAAATTACTTATATATACAACTACAACTTAAATAAGTTTACTGCTAATGAAACTTAAATGTCCAGATAAACCACAAAGGTTTACTGATTTTTTCCAATGTCATGAATAGTGTACTCCCTCTAAACTTACATCACTCTATAATGTCCTGATAAACCATCCCACAAAGGAATCTTTAAAACCGACATATTTATTTGGTCCCAATTTGTCCCCATATATTATCATATAGGAAACTCCCTCTAATCCGACATCCTTCTAATTCGACACTCCCTGTAAACCGACATATTTATTTGGTCCCGAATTTGTCCCCATATAATTTCATATAAGAAACTCCCTCTAATCCGACAATCCCTGTAAACCGACATATTCATGTGGTTCCAAATTTGTCCCCATATAATTTCATATAAGAAACTCCCTCTAATCCGACATCCCTCTAATTTGTCCCCATATAATTTCATATAAGAAACTCCCCCTAATCCGACATTCCCGACATATTTATTTGGTCCTGAATTTGTCCCCATATAATTTCATATAAGAAACTCCCTCTAATCCGACATTCCCTTTAATTCCCTTTAAACTGCGACATATTTATTTGGTCTCGAATTTGTCCCCATATAATTTCATATAAGAAACTCATATATCTGACATTCCTCTAATCTGACATTCCTCTAATAATCCTGTAAACTGACATTCCCTGTAAACCGACATATTTATTTGGTCCCTAATTTGTCCCCTATAATCCGACATTCCCTGTAAACCGACATATTTATTTGGTCCCTTTAAACCGACATATTTGTCCCCATATAATTATAAACCGACATATTCATGTGGTCCCAAATTTGTCCCCATATAAGAAATTCCTCTAATCCGGCATAAATTCCTGTAAACTGACATATTTATTTGGTCTAATCCCCGACATTCCCTTTAAACCGACATTATTTATTTGGTCGAAAATTTGTCCCCATATATCATATAAGAAACTCCCTCATATAAAGAAACTCCCTCTAATCCGACATTCCCTGTAAACTGACATATTTATTTGGTCCCAAATTTGTCCCCATATAATTTCATATAAGAAACTCCCCTCTAATCCGACATAAACCCCTGTATTTAAATTTGTCCCCATATATAATTTCATATGTTAATCCGACATTCCCTGTAAACTGACATATTTATGTGGTCCCTAATTTGTCCCCCATATATTATCATAAGAAGACATTCCCTAAACTGACATATTTATGTGGTCCCTAATCCCCATATATTATCATAAGAAACTCCCTCTAATCCGACATTCCCTGTAAACTGACATATTCATGTGGTCCCGAATTTGTCCCCATATATTATCATAAGAAACTCCCTCTAATCCGACATCCCACTATTCCATGTTAAGTCCTTGTTATGATTCATTGACACTGATATTGACATTGAGATCATCTCAATTTAGCATGAGTATTGCCAAAGCAAAACCTTCTGACCACCCGCCAAACCACCACATATATTCTTAATTATTTCTTTCACATTTACACTTTTACATAATCATAAAATTATCCTAAAAACAATTTTAGATAATATGTATGCTCGCCTATTTCCCTGATAAGTGGCTTTCCGCTTGGTAACATGACACAACACTGGTAAATATCTCAGTTTTCAGAGCTATGTATGAATAACACACAAGAAGATTGTTTGAAGTTGGGTATTGTTCGAAAACTCTGAACATCAATAATATCACTGTAACCTTGCCAGGAGTATTTCCGCAGTTGTAAGAAGCGAATTTTATTGGACAATGATTGGTTTGTAATGATACTTTTTTTGTTATCTGCTATACAGATCATGATTGGTCAAAAACATGCACGTGACCTAAGGGAGTCAATCATACCATGGATACCATCCTCGTGAATGAAAACGTTAAGATTAAGACAGAAGTTTTGGGTAAATTTGTGCTATTCTGAACATGTTGAGCAAGAAATCACCACATATATGTAAAAAATGGAACTTCGTGGACGTATAGTACTAGGTTGCGACCTGTGACAAAAACAATTCTCATGCATATATTTGACGTGACTACTGCCTGGATGGTTATTCAGCCTCCAGTGTCTTGGGACTCATGACCTTGTGGCCAATTATTTGTCCTGCGGTGTTGAATGACTTAACTTCAAATATAATATGAAGTTATTTCACGGGGTTAGTCTATTTGCAGAGTAACTGCCTACAGCTGTTTTGAGAGATGTTAAAACTACACCACACATAGAGTCAAGAGTCTATACGGATAAAGTCTGAAAGTCAGCAGACAGTCAAACCATATCTGCTCTCGGACATTTTGTACATACCTGTCCATAGCCAACTTCTAACCATTTCATCTGCAGATTCCACGGGAACATAAAATGACAAATGTGATATGTGCAATATGTTACATTGACTCTAAGTCAGACATTATTATTATTACAGATAATCCAGGCCTGCCTACAAATGTAACTTGTTCTGGATGAACGAGTTTCAATAACATGAAATTTCATATTTATGCAGCTTCTTAAGGTTACGTATGCATTGTAATACGGTGTGGGTGGGTATGTTCACTTGTTCACATTGGCTTCATAAACAAGAAGGGGCATAATCATTCCATTGCCGTCTAAATTGTGTAATATTGCATGCCAACATTACACATACAAATAAAACACGAAATGCATGTTTCAATGTTTTTATAAAAAATGAGCCTGAATGTATGAAGCATAACAAATTCAACCATTAGGCCAGACCAATTTTATTGTTTTATTGATCTTGTTTTAAGGATCCCCCGGTAGTATTTTTTCAAGAATAATAAAAAAATAAATTAACTTTCCCCGCTCATAAAATAAAATCCTAATGTTAATGTCACATAAATGAAATACTCTTGAAAATCAGTGTGAAACCTAAACTCACTCAACTTATTTTTAGTTGGTATAAACAAACCAAAAGAGTTACCATGGAAACCCACTTGGGTTTTTGATTTTACTGGTGATTTTTTCTTTTAAAAATTCCCCTCCTGCTTTTAGGTTTTCTGAGGATAAAAATCCGTAAAACGAAACAAAATTGGTCTGGCCTTATAAATGAATTTTGTAATGGGACTCCTGTATTACAAGACGTTTCACGTCAGGTTCCCCATGTAAACAGAATCTCTAATAATCCCAGAACTCCGACACTTATCATACCTGTTCCTACATTGTAAAAGATGAAGACCAAAAGAATGATAGTGAAGCAGTGGGCAAGTTGTTGCAAGGTATAATGATACATGGTACACACAAACACAAACAATATATTCAAGAAGACATGACAAACCTAAACAATCCAATTGTTTTAATTACTTTGGCTCATTAATATTCAATGACTGGAACACAACAACATTCAATATCTGAAACTTGAAGGCAAGAATTTTCTTTCCATATAAGAGCAACAAGTGAAATGTCCATGTTAATTCATAATATATCTAGGTTTATTACAGATATTAAAATTTATTTGTATCCATAAGATGTTCGGAATGACCACTGAGAATACTCACATCTGCATATGTTCCAGGAATCATTTGTTTTTCCCGGGTCTTAATCTTCTCATCTTTAATTTTTTCAGGCTGTTTTTCCTCTGAAGAGATAAAAAAATGCATTCAAAATCAGTGAGTGAGTGAGTGAATATGGTTTTACCCCGCTTTTAGCAATATTCCAGCAATATCACGGCAGAGGTCACCAGAAATGGGCTTCACACTTTGTACCCATGTGGGGAATCGAATCCGGGTCTTCAGCGTGACGAGCGAACGCATTAACCACTAGGCTACCCCACCGCCCTCAAAATCAGTGACATGGATTGTGATACATACATGTACTAGCCAAAAGGTGTTACAAAAGATGAGATTCTTTCATCCTACTATAGTTAATATGTCATTGCATGGCAAGACTTACTATGGTAATAGGAAAGAACTGGGTGTTTCATAAGTTCTTCTGAGTAGTATAGAAAATAAACCCTTCCACAAAATTTGTAAAATCAGTACACATTTTAGTTTGGCAAACCTTAAATTCACTAATTCATTATTTTTATCTTAGCTCTATAATCTAAAACTAAGCAAATTCAAAACTGAAAATTATGTAACCTGCAAATTATAAACATCAATTTCAAATTAACTTCAATGAAGTGAGTGAGATTAATTTTAAGCCGGCTTTAGCCATATTCTAGCATTATCACAGCCGTGGACACCAGAAATGGGTTTCACACATTTTTCCCATGTAGGGAATCGAACTGGATCATCAGCGTAATGAGAGAACGCTTTAACAACTAAGCTACCCCACCACCACTCATTCAATGAAATAGTTGTTACAAAACAAACAATGAAGTCAACCAAAGAGGTCATTATCATAAAGTATTTGTTAACAAACACACGTGTTACATCACATTTACAACATTCAGTAATACAGGTACATCGACGGTGGACGTGTACATGGACAAAGTCAATATCATTTTACAAACAACTGTTTAAGATGTCTCCTTTTCTGCCAACAATGCTCCCCCAGTATAGTCAATTAAGACCATACTGTTACCATGGTTACCACAGGTGTGTAACTTTTTTAGCAAAGTATTTCTTAAAGTGTCTTTTTTTCAAACTCATCAAGCTTCCAACAATACTGTTTCACACATTCTCTTATGTCCATTTCTCTTCAGAAGAGACATCACACTTGGAGAGTATGTTCCAATACTGGATGGTACAAAATAATGTACTGAAATTTGTACTTCACAAAGAAAGTGTTATTGAAAATATGTTACATATCAGGAGGTGGTTAAATACACATTAGACAAGCAGGGATTTACCTTGGTCTATACATTTCTGAGTCCTGGGATTTTTTAGTTTTGGGGGGTTAGGCACAATATGTTGGGTCCCCAGGTGACCTCTGCATTGGCAGCAAACAAATACCGAGTATGCTATGCTGCATGCTTTTATAGATCAGTATTTTCTTGATTAATTCGCAACTTACAAGTACGAGTTAGTGAGTATAGTCATTTACTGGATTCATTAACAGAACAGAAATATCAGATAAATCTTCTTTACATTCTTCAATAGTTCTTCAATCTAAAATCTCTTGAACCCAGTTTAACTTGCATTGGATATTATTAAGTTCCAGTCCTAATATTTGTGTGTAGGACAATATTTTGCATCCGGTAAATGTCTAGCCATCCAAGATATGCCTTGTGTGCTTGAATTGTTGTAAAAGCATATGTTTTGATAATTTTTGTAAACATCTACATCAGATGGTGGTGAAGTTTCCGAATGTTGCATCGTTGCAACGTTGTTGACGGACTTGTAAAGCCCCATCCTAGCCTCTGGTGAAAGGGAGCACTGTTCTAGCAGTATCTGGATACCTTTAACATTGGAGTTACCAGAGGGCACGGCAGCTTTTGGACCAGCACCGTAGAACTGCAGCTTCTTCAGTTCCGAGTTGGCGGAGTAGTCAATCACAGGCTCCTTGAAAACAACCATTAATGTATAATGTAGACAGGTCAGGCACAACAGCTTCAAAATATAGCTTTAGTCAAGTAGGTGAGGTGAAATTGGGTTTTACGTCGTGCTCGAGAATATTTTCGCTCATATGACGACGTGTATGCGTGTGTATGTGTGCATGTGCGGCTGCTTGTACTAGCCCAGACTTAAGCTGGTTTTATAGTGCTAGCCCACTGAGATACCATGCCGCAGTGAAGCATGAATACCCCACTCAGACACATTATACTGACTCCGAGCCGACCAGTCCTTGTTGTACCACATTCATGCTGAGCGCCACGCAGGGACCAACAAGTACCATATTTTAACGTCTTTTGGTATGACACGGTTGGGGATCGAACCCGCGACCTTCCGCTCTCCGGGCGGACACTCTAACCACTACACCACGGAGGCGGTCCTAAGTCAAGTATGTTTGACATAGATCATTGACAACAACTCTAAAAACCTACTATTCTACAATGGTCAAAATGAAATTTAATAAAAAAAATTATCTGATCAGACAATCCAGTGATCTACAGCATGAGCATTCATCTGCATAATTGAGATCCAATGACATGTGGTCAGCCAAGCCAGCAAGCATGACCACCCGATCCCGTTAGGCACCTCTTACGACAAGCATTGGTTACTGAAGACAAGATTCTAACCGGATCTTCACAGGTCTGTGACAGTAGCAGCTGACCGACATCTCAGATAAAGACACTGTACTTCAATACCCGTACGTAGTACAGTCACGTTTGTCTATATTAAGAGTTGATTTCAGTGCTGATTATTTTACCTCCTTCATAGTTCGCTTGGACTTCCTGACATGCCCTAGTTGAGATTCCTTCCCTTGTCCTTTATGGGGCTTGTACTCCATGTCTTCTGTATCCTCTCTGTCCTTCTCGACCTTCTTGATTTTCTGGAGGGAGAAGACACATTGGTTTGTGCTAGAACTGACATGATTACATCCACAAGAAAGGTACACATACAAAGTGTGAGTGAGTGAGTTTGGTTTTACGCCGCTTTTAACAATATTCCAGCAATATGACGACATGGGACACCTGAAATGGGCTTGACACATTGTACACATGTGGCGAATCGAACCTGGGTCTTTGGCGTGACGAGTGAATGCTTTAACCACTAGGCTCCCCACCGCTCCCATACAAAGATATACACCTGTTTGTCCTAGTACTCTTATGACTATCGGTGTACCACAACCACAAGGTCTGTCATTCTTCTTAATGACAAGAACCTACAACTTTTGCAAAATATGTGTAAATTGTATTTCAAAGTTGAGTGAAACAAATACAATTGTCATAAGGACATGATCTTTAATTTGCACAGAAGCTTTTAAGACTTGTATGTATTTACAAGGTGTTCACAAACTGGTGTCCTTTGAAGTGTGGTGAGGTGAGGTGAAATTGGGTTTAACGTCGTGCTTGAGACTATTTCGCTCATATGACGATGTGCATGCGTGTGTATGTGCGGCTGCTTGTACTAGCCCAGACTGAAGCTGGTTTTATAGTGCTAGCTCACTGAGATACCATGCCGCAGTGAAGCATGAATACCCCACTCAGACACAGTATACTGACTCCGAGTCGACCAGTCCTTGATGTACCCATTAATGCCGAGCGCCAGGCAGGGACCAACAAGTACCATATTTTAACGTCTTTTGGTATGACGCGGTTGGGGATTGAACCCGTGACCTTCCGCTCTCCGGGCGGACGCTCTAACCACTACACCAGTGACCATGGAGGCGCTCTCCTTGAAGTGTTGAGAATAACACTTTCCTACAGATCTACCAAACAACACCTGTATCCTTCTCCTTAACACTGTGACTATATACACTGACAATTGTTGTATCCATAAACTGTTAATTGTGAAAGTCATTCAAACGGAAATTGTTCATTTATTTCCTTGTAGGTACACATTAGAGAGCCAACATATCTCAATAAATCTTTGTCAAAATACTGAAACCACTATGGGGACTTGGATATAGAGCCCCCTTCAAAATAACACTTGAGGCAACTACAATGATCAAGTGATCCAGCCTGGTGATATAATAATTGGAAGTCATCATTTAGTGTATCAATGCTCACGACGTTAACCACTGTATTCTCTGATTCCAGAATCGACTACGTACGGCATTTAATGACAACAGGGCTCAAGATACTTTTTCAACATCAGGAGTACTCCTTATTTTTTCAATATAGGAGTACTGGAAAAGTACATTTAGAGTACTGAATGGAATTTCATGGAGTATCAGTAATTTTGTGCTTCGTTTCATATCTGCACCACAACATTGCTAGTCTTGTGTAAACAGGTCAATAAACAATAAAACAATACTTTTTCAGATAAATACTTCTGTAAATGATTCTAATACCATACACCATTGCCGTGGTGCGTATCTGCTACGTTTTCTAAATTATTTCCTACTGTATCGTGCATATTTTTTATCCGTACATATGCCGATATGGCCCTTATCTGGAGCCCTGTAACAAGTAGCAAAATTGACATTGAAAGAAGATAGATGTGTATTCAATTATTCATAGATAAGTACTGTGCAAATGTGTCCAGGCTGTTAATGTTTCTGGTGGCGTTTTACTAGTTTGAACATAATTTCTGACATTTACTGAAATTGACATATCTGATATGACGGAGGTGGTGAAAAAGTGTGACTTTGCTGACAAAAGGCAATTAAAATGATATGTTGCTATTATCAGTCTGTTCCTAATTTTTTTTGACTCTACTTGACAAAAGTGATATGAGCATAAATTCTTTCTGCACATAGTTGTGCTTCCGAGATTAAAAGGAATTTTACTAAATTCAAACTTAAGGCCAGTGGATAAAGTCATTGTCTTTTCAGTAGAGGGTAATGTCCAAGTAACTCTCCATTCCTTAAAAATAATTATTTTTTTAAAAACATTATTTTTAATGAATGGAGAGTTACTCGGATATTACCTTACTTAACTTACATTCAAAGTATTGGGAATATTTCTGTTATCAAAATTAAATGTCAAAATGAAGGCTTAAATTTGAAACTGGTACACATCGCTCCATTCCTGAAATTGTGAAAAGTAATGGAGCGAGCAGACAATGGAATGACGTCACAAATGTAATTTAATGATCGGCTCACGGTAGAGTGCAGCAAGTAGCATGTCTTACGTCAAATTCATAGGCATCTCCTTTCCGGAACACATAGAAAGGGTAAAGGATTCTTTCATAGTGTCCTCGAACAATGCTTCCACATCCCTTCCCAGTTGGCATTCCCAGCTTTGTGGAGATCTTGGACCACTTCCTCTCTGCCGACACCTGCTCCATACCACCCTCCTCTTCCACATTCTGAAACAAGGTCAAAGAAATTACACCTGGGACAGTGAAATTACACCTGGGACAGCTTCATTAAATTACACCTGGAATAGCTCATGAAATTACACCTGAGACAGCATTACACCTGGGACAGCTTCATTAAATTACACCTGAGACAGCATTACACCTGGGACAGCTTCATTAAATTACACCTGGAATAGCTCATGAAATTACACCTGAGACAGCATTACACCTGGGACAGCTCATGAAATTACACCTGATTCAAGGTGCATGTTCGGATTACAATGTGTATACAATATAACAATCACTGTAGGTGGAAAAATGATTTGAAAAGAATACAAGTCCACTACTTCAAAACATTTGAATTCCTGGAGGACTGGTCATTTCCTTGTGCATTACAATTCTATTTTCAGGTAGACTGCAACACTGTGGCTGATACTAGTTTTTGTGGACTGAGGAAAACAAAAGTATTTCTGACAGTTCAGATGTTGATACAGCAAACTGATGTGACATTGCATAATTTGTCCTAACTACTGTAACAAGAATCGAAATAATTTGAAATGCTCATTTGTGGTTGTTATTAACAATAACAATAACAATAAGGCGTAAACAAATAATGAATAATCATTACATGTTTTCCTTTACTGGGATAATACTTAGCCATGTTTATTGGTATATTACCTAATGTTAGCCATTTATTAACAACAGCATAATTGACCGAAGAGGAAAATTCATGTATACCATAGACTTACACTGCAACACTAGCATTAAAAAGTATTGGATACAAACATCACTTTGTTAGTTTTAGGACTTGTGAAACATTGAAAGGATTATACACTGGTCTCTCATAAACCAATAAGGTTAAAATAAGGTGCAATATGGCCTGTGGCCTACAAATGGTCTTAGATTTTACACATGGTGTATCCTGCTAAAAAAATACATCACTGATGATAACAAAATAGTAGTCTATGGAACACTTGAAAAGAAGGAACACAAAGTCTTGACATTTATTTTCCAATGCCTAGGTTCAATGATATTATCCAAGCATGGCAATAAGTCAACCAGCTTCCTCTTGGCACAGAAAGGCACCTGTCTCATAGCGGCTAAATCTGTAATGGATCAATACTCCGTTTCATAGCACATCAACCTCAAAAGATGTAGCTAGTCAATCCTTTGCTTGATAGATAAGACTGGCAACTCGCTGGAGACACTTATCATGCTTATAGTATCACAACTAGTGTCAAGGAAACTAACACTTAGTACAAGCACTTCCATATTATGAAAACATTCAAGGATAAACATGATAATTGTTCTTATATGTTAGCATTTTCCCTAAGATAAAGAGATAAAAGCACTGTTGCTAAGTATAAAGGAGATTGATTTAGTTCCTTTCAAATCTCCACATTCATCTTCACCAGAAAATGAACCCTGCCTAGATGAGTGAATCCAAAATGGCTGCCATTATTTACAATGCACATTACAGTTGATCAACATAAACCAGATATACAAAGATTCTTCAGTCCATTATTTGGCATTTGTACAGATAATTTGGATGAGCTGTCAATATATTCCTCGTTTTTGCTAACAAAACTATTTATTAGAATTCTACTTTTGTTCATGCTGTTTTATCAAGTATAATGCTGTTTATTGTGGTTATTTCAATAAAAAACATAATCTTAAACCGTATCCACATTAACCAAAGTAAACTCCACATCTTGTATAAACAACTGGATATATAAACTTTCACGTCAAGAATTTCTTATCCTTCACTTTTTGTGTCATCATCATAATCTTTGACCATTAAATAATAATAAACTAAACCTTCCTTTCTGAAATGTCTCTACAACATGTAGGGATCTTAGATAAAAAGAATATTTGTTTTTAAAACATTAAAGCAGGCTTATTTGTAAAAAAAAGAAGAAAGAAGATAAATACTTTCTGGCATACAAGCTGACAATTCTGCTTACCAGAAGCTGGTGTGGCATTTATCAGCAAACTTCCTCCACTAAAACTAAACCTCACCTTTGGTTTCTCCAGTCTTTAACACTTGTAAACATATTTTTGATAAAACTGTAGGTATGACTGAGCAGGTAGACGTTAATGCCTCCATTGTTATCTCCTGGCAAGCAATATTTATTAAAATAAATCCAAAGATCTGTTTGGCTTATGTTTTATTTTGACTTCGTTGGAACTATCCTCAAATTTTCAAAGACATTCAGAATTTTCTGTTTTTTCTGAGGCATAAATTAGTACTGTGTATTATATCTGAAAGCAGCAATGACCCACTGACCATGACACACGTTATGTGTTTTTGTAAACATTGAGCTGAGCAAGTGTATCAAGAACCAAATGCCTTCATATGGTCTTAAATAAGTAAGATGGCAACATCTGAAAGTCTTTAAACATTTCAGGGGCGTTTAGTCCCAAACCTAGTTCATGTACAGCATATCCATGAAGAGCTGCCTCATCCCTCAAGACAATAGCAAACTGGATATTGTTTTTAACTTTCAGGGGCATTTGGTCCCAAACTTAGTTCATGTACAGTGTATCCATGAAGAACTGCCTCATCCCTCAAGACCATAGCAATCTTGTTACTGTTTTTAACTTTCAGGGGCATTTGGTCCCAAACCTAGTTCATGTACAGCATATCCATGAAGAACTGCCTCATCCCTCAAGACAATAGCAAACTTGATCCTGTCTTTTCAACCTCTCTTATCAGCATTAAAAAAGTAATGGGTGTATTTACATCCATATGTTTACCACAGATGTGTATCAGGTGGGTCAAGTTCAAACAAAATATGAAAACCTACATAAGTCTTAGAAAGCAGGTGTACTTACATACAAGTAATGATCTAGTGTTAGGTGAAGTAATGTCTGTCACATGAATGATGTGATTCACTAGAAGGTTCTCATCTGTACATATCCCATGTATCCTGACCTAAATACAGCACACATCACTGCACAAGTGACATCTAGATACTCCTCACTGAACTTGTCTCTGTGCTTCAGTCTATAACCATAACTGCCACTCATTTTTCTTCCATTAAAGTCAACCTTGATCCAATCATACTTTCAAATAGATCTTACATTAAAATAATGACCAGATCACATTCTCAAACAATTGCTGTCTGTTTAAATGTTGATCAGACAAGACCAATACTCTGGATACTGGCTTTCAACAGGTCAGTTATGTAAGGAAATATACACACACTTATATGAGATAGGTTTATCAATTGACCAGTTTTTTTTCTCTGGAAAAGGAGCCTGCTCACTTTGGAATACCCTACCATATTTGCCATGTCAACAATGGCCAATGTAGCATAAATATTACAGAAGTCTGCACGGCAGCCATCTTGTTCACTTGTGGTATTATGAAAGCTAATGGAGGACATAGTACTAAATATCTCCATACCCAAACTTTGTAAACACTATTCATCAATAATTTGAGTATGAATTAATGCAGTTTAAAAAGTATATACACCAAATTTACCAAGATATGCCAATAAAGAGAGCCACTGTTACCAAATGTAAAAAACAAGATTCAACTTGATCACCTATTTTTCAGTCTCAGTGGTAAGAGTACCAATAGAAAGTAAGGTAATGTAAACAGTTTGGTTCTCATTAAAGTAATCCTAACAGTTTTCATACTAGAAAGAACTTGTGTTCTAAAAATGTCAAAAAAATGTCCAGATGTCATCAGCTCTGACATATCATATCGAAGGTGTTGCTAAACAAAATACCATGTCATAGCAAAACTAAAAACAGATTTCAAATGATATTTTTGGTATATCTGTCATACACAAACATATCAAACTCAAATATCGCAAGAAATGAATGTGTACTTACCTTGTACAAACCAAACAAATCCACCAATTTTTTCTCCACATGAGGAATCCTTAGTGCACATCCCTTAAAACACACAAACAGTAGGTCCAGTAGGTTGTAGGATGTAAGGTTTACTCAGATAGGTTCAAGCACAATCCATGTATCACTGATATGACTTGGTGTGCCAGAAGTCACGTAAACTTAATTGTGCCTTGCTCACAGCTATGGCAACCAAGATATTTGGTAGTGGACACAGTGGTTGGGAGATACATTGGGAAAAAGATTTCTGATGTTTTCTTATCAGTATAACGTTACATACAAGTGTATCAGCTTGGGTTGGTTGGTGGTGCCTGTTTTCTTTTCAAACATATCATTTGATGATATGATCTAGAGAATGTGCAAAGACATGTTTATAATGTTTACTGATGTGAGAAATATTGATATTGAAACAACTGTAACAAATGATGCTGTCATAAAACTGAACTTTTGGCAGTAAAATGTATAGAACAATAGGACAATAAGCATGATAAATATTGTATTTATGTATGCAGAGACATATGGTTTACAAACCAAAATAATGGTACATCATTTTTATTTCCAGAAAAAGCGTCATACCTGCAACTCCCAAAATTTGGCCAGTTGATCAAGGAAATTGAGCTTTATTCTGGATTTAGCCTGTTGAGAAAATGGAAAGAAAAGTCACATGACCAGAAGGTTAATATGCCCTTGTCAATGCAACAACATTAAGAATATAATCAGCCATCAACTTTATTTTCCAACTGGTATACAAAGTTGGGTCAGTTTATATGCAATTCCATGATTTATATGTTGTGTATGTACATTATGACACATTTCAAAACTATTATTCTTCAACATTGTAGATTGAGGCTGATGGGACGAGGCTGTGCTGTCAATAGCAAAGCAATATGGAGAAAGGTATGGGCAGAAATCCAAAATGGCTGCCTGGGGAAATGCCCAAACTACCTTTGCTCTTATTTTAAACAACCCAAAACATGACAATGGTGTTTGAAATATGTGTAAAATTCATTATTAGTAAATAAAGTTGCATATGAAAAAGATTTTGTATGAAAATTGTATGGTTTATGGGGAGAACTTACCTCCAACTCATTAAGTCTTTGTACTCTGGGTACAAATCTAAATTTTTCGACATCTACTGCAAATGGTGGTTGCCAATCCTAAAGAAATGGAAATTAAAGACATGATTCACTATACTGTATTGGTAATGGGTTATCATGTCATGAAAAACCTTGTAACTGTCATATTTTTAAAAATCCCATATTTTCTTACTCAATCAAGTAATAGATAATTCATCTGTGTGTATGTATTTTGGCTTTGGAATACCAGCTAATTACTAATAAGAAGAGATTCCAAAAATAAATGGACATATAAAGACAACAGGTCATGAAATAAGGTTGGATCAAACCACACCCTCTTTTCACAAGATACAATTTCAGGGCAAACAACATGTTTGCAAGCCTTTTCAAGACAATTATTTCACACCATAAACTGAACAATCATATCTTTTTGTTATTTTTCACGAAAAATATCAAAAACGGGCTCATGATGTCAAGTTTATGCTTATGTATTCTATGTTTCTAGTCCATACAAGTTTGCTAATTCTTTCAACTTCCTTCATCCTTTTCAAATTATTCATCCAAATTCACTCTCAACAAACACAAATACTAATAGAATCTGATTCTAAACGATTAAGGTGTTTATTGTTACGATAATAGTATCTCTTAGTTTTCTGAGACACGCTGACGCGTCAACTATGGCAAAGATCGGAAGGCCCAGCAAATAACATCTGCAGCTAGAGCAAGGGGTCCTGTTTCCCATTGGCTTGGCTAAAACGTCATTTGTTGGTATTACATTCTATATCTTTGACGTTGGGCATCGAAAAAATAACACCAAATGCTATTAAATCCACCCATATATCAACAAGAATCAACTTTTTAAACTGATATCCAAGAAATTAATGACAGTTCTTAGGTGATAGTCCAAATCTAAACAAAAGCGTCGCCATGTTCTCTGTTGAAGATTGCACGTATGGATAACCTGGGCACAGGACTTAAAGTGTGGACAACAACATCGTTGCACTGTAATAATTCAAATAACACAAACGATCTGAAACATATAACGCACCGGTGGTGGTTTTATTTTGCATATCCCTCCTTTGACGGCAATGGGTCTTATCTTGGCAATATAACCCAATGGATCTGCAAACTCCTCCTCTGTTGGAGTAAAAACCAGTGCCTCAGGAGGAGCCACGAAGTTAACATAGGGGTCATCCATTCCAAACGAATGAGAATAACACTGTATCCTCCAGGAATTATAGGTGACACATGTATTCACTCCACGGAAACAGTATTTTCACATAAAATCCATTGAAAACACCTTCAGTACAACACACCGTAAACGATGCCTAACAACATCCCAAACTGTATCAATCAGCATATCATATAGTTCCCCAACTGTCAACATTTGCATTGAAATCGCATGATTTACCTTCTGTTCTTCCAAATAACACGATCTATTATTCTAAACTATATATCTGAAATTTTCTTTGCTTAGAAGTTTAAAAAAAAAAAATTGCTCAAAAGTACGTGATTTTGCGTATGAATACAGCGTATACTGAGGTCATGCAAATGTCATAGGCAAAACTGTGATACGTTTCACTCTGCATGCTTACATAAAAAAATAAATGTATTCAAATTGATTAATAATGAGACATATAATATTGATTTAATTTGAACTAAAAATGTTGGTAACCAATCATAGTTTGTAACTTAAATGGATTGGAATTTTACTGCGGACCTTCCGTACGCGGAACTTTCAAAATGGCGTCTGCAGGTGCGAGGTAAAGTTGTGCACAGTTCAAATTTGTTTATATCTACAAATATGAGAGATGGTTGGGAAAAATCATCCACACGTTGGGTGCACATACTATATGGCCATTAAAAGACGATCAGAAAGAAAAACGGTGTTGCCATAAATGTAATGTGTTGACAACAGTTGCGGTTGAGACATGCACGAACTTGCAAACGTCTGCTTTAACACTAATGACAGATCTAACAACAGCTAAATTAGTAAATAGATCTTGCCATGATATTCATTTCGAGAAATTGAAAATGTAATACGTTCACACTTGTCTCACACTTGTCACCAATCCTGTGGATGCAACAAAAGTTAGCAACTTTTTCTGCGTTGCTCCCTACAAACGATTTGGCTTTGGAAACATTTTTTTTCGAAATCACCTAGATGTGTGATGCAAATCTTCATCGCACTTTATACACTTTAGCAAATGGCATGCATCCTGATCTAATGACAAATACAACACGAATTACTTAATCAGACTCTCTAGGCTTGAAATACTAGTACTTTGATCTATAGTTTAGATGTAACAATATATTTTCTTATCGAGTTGGAGACAGAGCAATAAAGGTTTTGTATACACCATCTCACTCATTGATGGTATCTAAAATCACTACTACCTCAGTGGAGTAACCTAACGGATAAGGTGTTCGCTCGTTACACCAAAGACCCGGGTTTGATTCCCCACATGGGCACAATGTGTGAAGCCTATTTCTGGTGTTCCGATAAATCTCCACTATAAACCCTGGATGCATCTACGGCTCTGCCCCGTGATTTTATTTCCTCCCTTGGCTGGCTTTGTAACCAATCAGGTGTCTATGCTGGGAAGTTGAATTTACCAATCACAACTCACTATCGCGTCTTTTATCTATCCGTTTAAACTTGGCAACATAATTGTTGCAGAGGTACTCTGAAAGAGGTAGAAAGAGTTCTTGCATATATTTCTAAGGTTTCATCCCTATCAATTTGTCTGTATGATTTCCCCCCAAATCTGAGTCACATTGCAAACAAACCTTCGCAGCTGCGACCGCTATCTTTGTTGACACTGGCAAGCTTGGTTGTAATGGCAGCTTAGCTGATTGGGTACTGTGAGAATGTGGAGCCAGCAAAGGGAGGTAATAAAATTATTGGGCCAAGCCATAGATGCATCCAGGGTATACTGGAGATTTATCGGAACGTATACCCTGGAGATTATAGAGGATGCCCTTAATGGTGAATCAGCACTATCAGATCTTCCACTAAAATGTTCCAATCAGAGTACTGTATGTCAGGTGACTTTTCTAATCAGCCCCATGGCTTTGAAATCCTTGGCATAAGGAGCAAGTCCTTCAGATAAACATACCTGATTCCTGTAAATCATAACGGCCAAGATGTTATTTTGCTGTTAATTTTCATACACCTTGTCCCAAAAGGGAGTACAACTAGTAGTCCCATTAAATCTGTTAAGATGCTTTGCTCACTCATGCAATAGATTTAGAAGCCTTTTAGCTGATTAGAAAATTTATGCAATGCAGTCGTTTTTCCTAGTATCGGAGTGAGAGGTCTTAACTTAACGAGACTGTACCTTTAAAGGAATATTTGAGTTCAGGGTGGGTATTGTTTGGTAGGTAAATAATTCAGAATCATACCAGTACGGAAATTAAATTGACTTGTGGTTGAAAGCTGGCAGCTGATTGGATCCAGCACCTAATCGGGGTGGTGGGGTAACCTTGTGGTTAAAGCGTTCGTTCATCACGCTGAAGACCCAGGTTCAATTGCCCACATGGGTACAATGTGTGAGTCCCATATCTGGTGTCCCACGCCATGATATTGCTATAAGCAGCGTATAACTCACTCACTCCAGCACCTACACATTCTTCATTCATCTCTGATGGTCAAACCTCAATCTGGAGGCTTGTCTGACACACTTTCCCATGGAGATGTAGGATATTGGAATAATGAGTGAGTTAAGTTTTACGCCGCACTCAGAAATATTCCAGCTATATTGCAGCATTCTGTGAATTATCGAGTCTGGACCAGACAATCCAGTGATCAACAGCATGAGCATCGATCTATGCACCTGGGCACTGGGGAACCAAGCCAGTGAGCCTGACCACTATTGCTGGTATTGGCATACAACCGGTGTAGGATGCATCACGATACTAAAATTTTAGTCATGACGATATATTGCCCAAGTATTGTGCACTGAAGTTACGATCGAATCGAATACATCGATGTATCGTGTATCACGGCCCATTTGAAGTATCGTATCAGGATACATGACAATGTAAAACTTTGTATCGATTCACTGTATTGGTGGCCCTTGGATCGTTGCGTATTGATGAATCGTCCCACCACTACTGACCACTTGAACCTGTTAGTTGCCTCTTACGACAAGAATGGGTTACTGAAGATCATCCTAACCCAGATCTCCATGGGTCCATATTGGAATAAAGATCTGATTATATCATAATAGGTAAATTGAATGAATTATGATGTCTTAATGCAATTATGTTTTGTAGTAGAGACACAGAATCATAAACCAATTTCAATTTTAATTTTCCAGTCCTGGCAGATCAAAAAAGTCAGTTCGCTCACCAAGGACACCCCAGTCCCGTAAGAATGCTGGAGATAGGAGTCAGTTGAATAACAGCTTTGAAGAAAACATGAACAACAACAGCTTCAGCAAGAAATCTTCCAAATCTCCAGATCTCCCAAGCATCAATGAAAGATTGGGTAAGTTCTCTGAGTGAATATCCCATTGACACTTCAGTTCAAAATTCACCATGATTTATAAATGCATTTCCATTGAGGCTGAAGTAACTGTGTGTTTGTTGTGTACTGCCGCATTCAGGCGGTGGGGTAGCCTAGTGGTTAAAGCGTTCGCCTGTCACACCGAAGGCCTGGGTTCGATTCCCCACATGGGTACAATGTGTGAAGCCTATTTCTGGTGTTCCCTGCCGTGATATTGCTGGAATATTGCCAAAAGTGGCGTAAAACTATACTTACTCACTCACTACTGCCGCATTCAGCAATGTCCGAGCTATATGACAGTGGTCTGTAAATAATCGAGCCAAGGCCAGGACAATCCAGTGATTGACACAAGCATTGATCCACATCAATATTGGAGATGATAATATTCACTCATGGGTGGGTGGGCTGTCTAAGGCGCCAGGCTTGTGATCCAGTGAGCTTGAGGTGAGGGATCGAGCCCACCTGTGACCGAGTATGAAAACCTTGGAGTCAACTTGCAGTGTGCAGACTCTTTCAGTGTTGTCACAACCCCTAGTGTACAGTACACAACCCTGTGCACTTAAAAGAACCCATGAATCCGTTGGTAAATGACCAGATGGTGGTCACATGAAAATGTGCAAACACCTAGTTGCAGATGCAACGTGTGCCTAGTTTACGTGCAGTAAAACCTGGACATAGTACTGTGACTATGTGTCCCAGTTCATCCGGCTGTAAATGGGTACCTCGTAAGGATGGGAGAGCCGCAATAACTTGATGCACCTAGTGGCTGCAAGAGGTGTATGATCCCCATGGAGTTGAGATTGATAATACTTTCTGCTGTTGAGATTGACATCCAATGATCAAGGGTAAAAACCCAGCGTCTTGAGCATGTATAAGTGCATGGATATGTGCGCTATATATATATCCTAAAATAATAAAGATCCGGGTTAGAATTGGTCTTCAGTAACCCTTGTTTGAGGCTACTAATGGGATCAGGTGGTCAGGCTCGCTGACTTGGTTGACACATGTCATCGTATCCCAATCGCGTAGATCAACGTTCATGCTGTTGATGGGGTGGTGGGGTAGCCTAGTGGTTAAAGCGTTCGCTCCTCACGCCGAAGGCCCGGGTTCGATTCCCCACATGGGTACAAGTTGTGAAGCCCATTTCTGGTGTCCCCGCCGTGATATTGCTGGAATATTGCTAAAAACGGCATAAAACCATACTCAGCCAGCATGTTGTTGATAACTGGATTGTCTGGTCCAGACTGGATTATTTACAGACTGCCGCCATGTAGCTGGAATATTGCTGAGTGCGGCGTTACAGAACAATCAATCATCTGCTGTATGAAGACACTAGATCGTGTGATGCTTCAGGTCATCTTCGTCCCTCGCGAGAGCTGCTGGAGTACTACAGGAAGAAGATAGCCGAGTATGATGATGAACATGATCAAGTTGTGTGTAAACTGGAGGAATATAAAGTCACATATGAGGACCAGGTACTTATTTCAGACAGCGTTTATGGTGGATATGTTATTGAATCCCCTGTGAATGGAATGTAAGGTACGGCTAATGTTGAATGCCGTACCCTGGTGCTTCTTGCCCCCATTGTTTGTACTTGAACAACATTGGAATTCTGGGGTCAGTGGGGTATCCTAATGGTTAGAGCATCCGCTCGTCACACTGAAGATCCGGGTCCCCACATGGGTACAATTTGTGAAGCCCAATTGTATCCCTACCATGTTATTCTGGAATTTTGCTGAAAGTGGCATAAAACTGTGATACATGTGGAAATATTGCTGACTGTGGTATGAATCAACATGCACTCACTGCAGTGTATGCCTGTGTTGCAGCTGAACTAGAACCATTGGTCAAATTAAAGTCCTTTAAGTCTTCTGTGGGGTTTGAATCAGCAGACTCATTAAATCTTTATCCTTAAAATTTGGGTTATGAAAAGGCCCATTGCGTATGTAAAGATACATGCTTAATTTCCAACACTAATGACGTCATTGTTGATGCAGCACAAGATGCAGTGGGAGTTGCGGCAGCGGGAGGAGGAGATTGTAGAGTTGCAGAAGGCTCTCAGCGACATGCAGATCTACTTGTTCCAGGAGAGGGAGCATGTACTCCGACTCTACTCAGAAAATGATCGGCTCAAGGTACAGTATTGGAACACTGATGCAAACCTAATTAAACAAACTCTGAAACGTACAAAATATTCAGCAAATTAGTATTTTCCATTGTCTACAAATGTGAAGATCTATGTAGATTTGTGTGCTTGTGTGAAGGTCGTGTGTGTCCGTCCGTTGCATGTGTTTGTCTGAGAAGCCTGTGTTTGTGTGAGAGGTATGTGTATGTGACATATTTGTGTGACAGATATGTGTGATTGGGTGACAGATCCATGTGTGGGACAGATTGTTGTATGACAGGTCCATGTGATTGTGTGACATGTGTGATTGTGTGACATACCTATGTGTTTGTGTGACAGGTCTGTGTGTTTGTAGGACAGAGATGTGTATATGACGGGTCCATGTGATTGTGTGACATACCTATGTGTTTGTGTGACATACCTATGTGTTTGTGTGACAGGTCTGTGTGTTTGTAGGACAGAGATGTGTGTATGACAGGTCCATATGATTGTGTGACATACCTATGTGTTTGTGTCACAGGTCTGTGTGTTTGTTGGACAGATATGTGTATATGACGGGTCCATGTGATTGTGTGACATACCTATGTGTTTGTGTGACATACCTATGTGATTGTGGGACAGATATATGTGATTGTTGGACAGATATATGTGATTGTGTGACATATATGTGATTGTGTGACAGATATATGTGATTGTGTGACAGATATGTATGATTGTGACAAAGCCATGTTTGTGTGACATATGTATGATTGTGTGACAAATCCATGTTTGTGTGACATGCATGACTGTATGACAGATGTGATTGTGTGACAGATCTGTGTGTTTGTATGACAGATGTGTGTATGTGACAGGTATGTTTGTGTGACATATGTATTTTTTGTGACAGATGTGTGTGTGTGTGTGACAGGTCCATGTGTTTATGTGACATGTGCTTGTGTGACAGATTCGTGTTTGTGACAGATCCTTGTGTTCGTGAGAGATGTGTGTTTGTGTGACAGATCTCTGTGTGTGCGACAGATCGATTTGTTTGTGACAGATTGGTGTGATTGTGTGACAGTTCCATGTGTTTGTGTGACATATGTGATTGTGTGACAGGTCCATTTGTGTTTGTGTGAGATGTGTGTTTTTGGGTGACAGATCAGTGTATTTGTGTGAGATGTGTGTGTTTGTATGATAGATTGTGTGACATGTCCATGTGTGAGATGTGTGTGTTTGTATGATAGATTGCGTGACATGTCCATATGTTTGTATGAGATGTGTGTGACAGATCAGTGTATTTGTGTGAGATGTATGTGTTTGTATGACAGATGTGTGTGATTGTGTGACATGTCCATGTGTGTTTGTGTGACAGATCTGTGATGTGTGTGTGACAGATGTGTGTGATTGTGTGGCATGTCCATGTGTGTTTGTGTGACAGATCTGTGATGTGTGTGTGACAGATGTGTGTGATTGTGTGGCATGTCCATGTGTGTTTGTGTGACAGATCCGTGTGTTTGTGTTAGATGTGTTTGTATGACAGATGTGTGTGACATGTCCATGTGTGACAGATCCATATGTTTGTGTAACATAGTCATGTGTTTGTGTGACAGATGTGTCTATGTTCTTGTATTTTGTGACAGGTCCATATGCTTGTGTGACAGATCCATGTGTTTGTGTGACAGATCCATATGTTTGTGTGACAGATCCATGTGATTGTGTGACAGGTCAGTGTGTTTGTGTGACAGATCCATGTGATTGTGTGAGATGTTGATGTGTGACTGTGTGACAGATCCATGTGTTTGTGTGACAGATCCATGTGTTGTGTGACAGGTCCATGTGTTGTGTGACAGATCCATGCATTTGTGTAACAGATCCGGGAGCTGGAGGACAAGAAAAAGATTCAACAGTTGCTGGCCCTAGGGACGACACCTGACAGTGAGATCACATACTTCATGAAGGAGCCTCCAGCTAAAGCCATTGTAGAACAGAAACTGCCAAGGAAGGCAGGTAACCAGGACAACCGGACACACCATCAGCAGCACAAATGTAGGTGATGCGAACAGTGTGCTATTCTATCAATGTACTACTGAAGTTAAAGCTTGGTTTGAAATATTTTGAACATTTTATTCATTTTATTGAAACTGCTTCCTGTCTGATTTATTGTGTTCCTGTTATCAGGATAATCAAAATATGTACAGGACATCTCTGTGTAAGCAGAAAAATTGTTGATTGACTTTTTTGTATGACGTCATGGATTCAGAGTCGTTAACACTTATTTGTAACACATGTTTAGTGAGTACATGAGATTGTAATGTTATATTTTTAATACTGGCAGTTTCATAAACTGCAAATGAGTGTTAATAATATTAAACGTGTATAAGGAAAAGGGTTGTATAGTTTCTTAACAAGATATTCTAATCAAACCATATCCTGTCATCCAAGTAATCTGGACAGCAGTAAAAGTTATATAAATTCATGTATTGTCTTCACTAAATCTGTTATCACAGTCACAGATAATCTGGTTCACAATGTCATCCAGTTGTCTAAGGCATTCCAATGACCCTAAATCTAAACAGGATCTGCTGATCACAGGTTCAAATCCCTTTATTAAGTATAGACAGACAATCCAGTGATTATTATCATGAGCACTGATTTATGCAACTGGGATATAATCACACATGTCAATGAAGTCAAGGAAACCGATCCCGTTTGTCGCCTCTTATGACAAGCATAGGTTGCTGAAGATCAATTTCAACCCAGATCTTTACAGGTTAAAGATACAAGTTTAGGTTTATCGTTTTATTCATTGAGTAATAAGATGTACAGTGTAATCTGAATTTACGATTCAGGCTTGAAGCGACTTCAGTTCTGATCCTTCTTTAACCAGAAACGATTTGCAGTCCCACAGCCTCATGCTTCAAACTTTGTTTCCAGTAAAGAAGAAACAGGTAGCACTGAGTGACCGAAGGACGTCGCTGTCGCCAGACCCAGAGGCCAAGTATCAGCATGACAACCAGGCCTTGTGTCTTCAGGTGGAGGCCCTCCAGGCCCAGATGGAGGAACAGGCCAAGCTGGCGAAGGAACAGGCTGAGGCCATGCTGGAGGACCAAGGGTCAAAGAAGAAGAGTTCGAGACTCGCAGACAGCGGGATGAGGACAAGATCAGAACTCTCACTGAAAAGTAAATACATGATTTTTTACCTTATCCTGCATTACTCCTTAATGCATTTACTGCTTTCCCTTGACAAGACAAAGCTGTGCGATGGAAACATCGAAGAGAAGTTGTTCCAACTAAGCGAGCTGCCATATTGCCATTGCACTGCGCCCATGGTCCCGGAAGAAGCTGATGTCACAAGGGAAAGCAGTAAATGCATTAAGGAGTAATGCAGGATAACTATACAAATATAAAACATATCTAGATTTTACTGGGTTTATCATAGTGGTAACACTAGTGAATGTGGCAGTGTTCTTCTTCAAAGTTAGATTTGACTGATGAAGTTGGTGTTAAAGTAAATATATCCATTATCAAAAAAGGGCTTGAATTAAGAGACTGCCAAATGCAAGCTCATATTTATACCAACTTGTATCCAGTCCATGTTTATATGACATGACTTCAGCTTGCAAAGAGAAAGGCTTGGAGCAGTGACTCTAATGACTACATGGACAGTGACTGAATGACCGTTACTGTTCATGTCATACATGGATCCTTTCTAAATCATCAATACCAAAACTCAAGCATTATGAATTTTGTTATTAAACATCAGGTGCAACTTCTTTTTCTCTCGTGCAGCAAGGTGAATACCTCAGGTTGCACCAGTTACAAGTTTCCTTCCCTTAAAATGAGTCCTGAAAAAAACATCCACGAATAAGTTTAAACATTACTCTGTATGGTAAATGAAAACCTTTTTGAAATCACTATCAGGACACATGGCAAAAAGTTAATGTGTTAATTTAGAACCCTAATTTTCAAGTTTTTTTCCAGTTCCAAACAGTTTCATAGTGTGACTCTGTATTTGATGTAGAGGCAAATAGATCCATCATGGAGCTCAAACTGCAATATGTTTATCAATTCAAAACTCCTCATAGAATCAGTGTCTCATTTTCAATCTATGAAACTAGACACCTGTGGAGAATACTACCTTTGGAGATTCCAGCAGAATTTTTCAAGTAATATGTACTTGCTATTCTTGGCAGCTGTGTTGGCAGACATGGACAAAGGGGAGATAATGTGAAATTTGTTACCTTGGGTTATCTCCCTTGAAGTATTAATGTATGAGAACCATAGGTTACACACCACCAAATGTTTTCCCATAGACTTCTATAGTAACCTTATATATTTTTTTTAAATATCCAGGCTATCAACAGCCATTCCATGTACACATAGGTACACTCTGGCCTTTAAACTACCATAAAACAAAATAAAAGGCCAACTTGTCCTGCTCCTTTTGCGAGCACAGGAAGCAGAACACATCAACCCCAGTTCTGCACCAAATGTCACCTACTGGAAAATATCTGTACACACAATAAGCATAAGTGATGGTGATAAAAATGACAGCACTAAATACTTAAAATTGTGGTCAGTTTTAATTACTGGTTGGATGTACTTTTAAAAAACATAAACGTCTTACACTATTTTATCCAATCACAGCTGTCACATGTCTCTGTCTCTCTTCACTTGTTTACATACGGCTCTTGCTCAGGGAGCATGTGATACTGATTTAGTGTAGTGGAACCCATACCAGTGCTCATGTGTTTCAACGAAGTAAACAACTGAGACCTGCATAACTTCTGGACTTTCCTGCCACATTATGCTGATACACTGAGATACAACTGGAATATTATTCAAAGCAGTGTTAAACCAACAGAGATATGTGATGGTAGACTTATTAGTCAGCTTCAAGGCATTCTTTAATTCAGTTGACATTGCACTTCGGGAAACATCTCAGGATTGAATTTGTCTTTATTTGACATCAGGTGATGGACACAGTGCCTCATCTTAGCAAATTCCGTGAATCGCTTTGTAAGTCTCTGCTCAAATGATAACATAATCATGTGACATACTGATGTTCATCGGAAATGAACAACATTTTTGCTCGGTAGTCTTCATTTAGACTTGGTCACCTGCTACTGTCAGTATTAATTTAACCTTGCTACATTTCAGATTGCATAAGACACAAGACTTGCTGTATGACAGTACGAAAGACTTCCTGGAACTACGCTACCAGGGTCGAGCCAATGAGCGGGGATGGATGGCCGAGAAGGATGACTTACTTCGTGAGATGGACGAGTGTAAACAGAGGCTGACTACCAGCGGGAAGGACACGGTCATCAACGTCACTGATGCAGGTTACGAGAGAGGCCACTATGCTGAAGAACTTCAGGTATGTAGCCGGTCTAGGTAACCAGGCAACTCCGTGTTGTAATGGCTGCTTTCGGGTCTTGTTTATCTATCTGAGACATCGTTAGGATATCATGTAAAAAGATTGTCCTCTATTCCAACTCAAGAATTTTGTAAATATCATTACTTGTGGCTTGATAATATTGTTATGGGTGATGAAACATATTTTGCAAATATAATGTACAGTTTTAGATTGTGATGAGTATACTTGGTGTAATTAGTTTTAGCTTGGGGTGAGGGGCCTTCGCTTGAGCGAGAAATTGTTATGTAACTAGTGGTACAGCTTGGGATTTGATGAATTCAGCTTTGGTGAGTTAATTGAATGTGGCCAGCCAGCTTATAGGGAGAAGCTCGGTGATTCTGATCTAGCTGGGATGTTTCTTGAGGACAGGATGTGTCCAGTTGTGGTTGTACCCATAATGTGAATTCACAAACTTGCACCCACGTCGGGACTGTGTCAAATGGAAACTAGGAAATAATGGTGTACAGGAAGGATTTAAAAATGAGGTGACTATGCCATATTGCTTTTTGCCCATAATATATCTATGACAATTTCTCTTCACTTTCCACATTTGTAAATTGGTTTGGATTTCCCTGTAAATTCAAGTGTTGGGCTCAGAAAAATCAGGAGAGAGTGAAGCATGAGGCCAGAGGGTGGCGACACCTGTTCCCGCGCTTACGGCAGGGGAGGTAACTCGTGGGTGAGTACCAATTAGTGATTTTACATTGAAGGGAGCTTCAATTAAGGAGATACAAGTGTTCCACTATGTTCGCAAGAGGAAGGGGACAAGCAAAAGAGCATGAGTCAGGATAAGTATAAAATATCAATTTTACTCAGAAAATTACATTTTTGCAAATATAATGTACAGTTTTAGATAGTGATGAGTATACTTGGTGTAATTAGTTTTAGCTTGGGGTGAGGGGCCTTTGCTTGAGCGAGAAATTGTTATGTAACTAGTGGTACAGCTTGGGATTTGATGAATTCAGCTTTGGTCAGTTAATTGAATGTGGCCAGCCAGCTTATAGGGAGAAGCTCGGTGATTCTGATCTAGCTGGGATGTTTCTTGAGGACGGATTTTGCCAGTTGTGGTTGTACCCATAATGTGAATTCACAAACTTGCACCCACGTCGGGACTGTGTCAAATATGGAAACTAGGAAATAATGGTGTACAGGAAGGATTTAAAAATGAGGTGACTATGCCATATTGCTTTGCCCATAATATATCTATGACAATTTCCTCTTCACTTTCCACATTTGTAAATTGGTATCCTGTATCAGCCTTCTGTTAGGATAATATAAATAAATCTTCCTGAATTAGTCAGATTGTTGTGTGATCCATTTTCATTGTTACGAGTGAATTGGTGTCATATACCCCTTTATCACACCTTCACTCATAACAATATCCTGTGACCTTCCATGACCTGAATTGCTGTAGTATAGTTGGCAGTCATTAAGAAGGTGTTGGAATGTTTAATCTATTTAAAGTAGTGGTTATTTCCTCTCATCGATGTATTTTCTGTTTCTACTGAGATATATTTTGTCTATACACAGAACAATGGAAACATCACTGTGTTAACAGATAAAAACATAGAAGTGAATAGTTTTGGGACATGTATTCAAAGTAATGCCTCACAAATGCTAATTGTTTCCAGATTAAGTTGGTATTCAATTAAGCTAACATTGGAAGTTTACGATTGAAGGGTCTAAATAATTGTCAGAAAATGATGCTTCTGTATATATTCATGTTTGGGAATACCCAGTGGTTGCCCCGAGAATGTGCAAGTAGTTTCGTCAGTGTTTACACTATTTCAAGAACACATTCTTGTGGAAAATGTGTGAACATCAGTTTCTTATTGTTCTAACACTTACAAATGTCAGTTCGGTGTTGTTCATATACTTATGATCGTCAGTTTGGTGTTGTTCATATACTTATGATCGTCAGTTTGGTGTTGTTCATATACTTATGATCGTCAGTTTGGTGTTGTTCATATACTTATGATCGTCAGTTTGGTGTTGTTCATATACTTATGATCGTCAGTTTGGTGTTGTTCATATACTTATGATCGTCAGTTTGGTGTTGTTCATATACTTATGATCGTCAGTTTGGTGTTGTTCATATACTTATGATCGTCAGTTTGGTGTTGTTCATATACTTACAATCGTCAGTTCGATGTTGTTCATATACTTACGATCGTCAGTTTCATGGTGTTCATACGCTTACAAACGTCGGTTTCGCGTTGTTCATACACTTACAAACATCAATTTTGGGTTGTTTAAATATTTATGAACATCAGTTTCACGTTGTTCATACACTTTCAAACATCAATTTTAGGTTGTTTATACATTTACGAACATCAGTTTCACGTTGTTCACACACTTACGAACGTCAATGTCGTGTTGCTCTTACACTTGCAAACGTCAGTTTCATGGTCATTGGATGGATGTCACATCCAATGGAAACTCCACACTCAAAAGTTATGCCTCCATAAACACACAAATATTGAAGTGAATGCTTGATGTGTTTTGTTCCCGCCACCAGTCCCTGGAGTACCAGCTGCAGCAGTCCCAGAAGGTGGGGACATGTACCGGGAACAGGTCATACAGCTGGAGGACGAGCTGTCACGCATCAGGGAGGAGGGTGACGTCACGCGGGAGATATTCAAGGTAACACTCAAACCTGCCAAATGTCTCAAGTTTTGTTCAGCAAGAAAGACAATTTTCTTGCATATTTACAAGTCTCCTTTAGTTTATTAAGAAAAACAATTTGCTTGCATATTCGCAACTAAACTACATGGAAATGGCACAGTGGGGTAGCCTAGTGGTTAAAACGTTCGCTTGTCACGCCGAAGACCCGGGTTCGATTCCCCACATGGGTACAATGTGTGAAGCCCATTTCTGGTGTTCCCCGCCGTGATATTGCTGGAATAATGCTAAAAGTGGTGTACAACTAAACTCACTCACTCACTCAAAGGTTCATTGTATCTGACTTTGTACCATTGTTATTTGAATTGTTCAGGTATATACATTGATACAGACATGTTGCCATGGAAACACTGGGAGTATCATCGACCGTCTCTGTGGTGTAGTGGTTAGAGCGTCCGCCCGGAGAGCGGAAGGTCGCGGGTTCGATCCCCGACCGCATCATACCAAAAGACGTTAAAATATGGTACTTGTTGGTCCCTGCCTGGCGCTCGGCATTAATGGGTACAACAAGGACTGGTCGGCTTGGAGTCAGTATAATGTGTCTGAGTGAGGTATTCATGCTTCACTGCGGCATGGTATCTCAGTGGGCTAGCACTATAAAACCAGCTTAAGTCTGGGCTAGTACAAGCAGCCGCACATACACACGCATACACGTCGTCATATGAGCAAAATATTCTCAAGCACGACGTTAAACCCAATTTCACCTCACCTCACCTTGAGTATCATCAATAAGACTACTCATATGATTACACAATTCCATTTAGAAAGTGGTCAAATGTAACATACGTTATATTTGGGATTACACTTTCTTAGTAAAGTACAGATTCTACTACTTTTTGGGGTTGAGTTCCATCCGGAATTCGAACCCACACCCTCAGAGTCAGGCACCTAATCACCATCACACAAAGTCAGCCGCCTACTCATAAATAATTAGGTTGATATATTGTTCTCATGCTCCTTCTCTTCTTTACTTCTCCTTTTCCTCATCAGCGTAATCATTCTTTTCCTCCTCCTATTCTTCTCTTACTTCGCTTTTTCATCATAATCTTTCTCCTATTCTCCTCCTCCTCCTTCAAACTGATTGATTAATTGCTGATACCACATGTGTTGTGACACGTTGACACAAGTACCTGCTGGTTTGATGTGTAGGATCGCAGCGACAAGATGACGAAGCGGCTGCAGCTGATGAACCAGCGTTACGCAGACCTGGAACGGCGGCGCAACCTGGAGGTCGAGGGCTTCAAGAATGACATAAAAAATCTCAGAAGCAGACTGAAAGATGTCGAGAAACAGCTGTATAAGGTAATAGCTATTTCATTTAAAGAGGGGGTGGCGGGGTAGCCTAGTGGTTAAAGCGTCCTCTTGTCACGCCGAAGACCTGGGTTTGATTCCCTGCATGGGTACAATGTGTGAAGCCCATTTGTGGTTATCCCGCGCCGTGATATTGCTGGAATATTGCTAAAAGCGATGTAAAACTAAACTCACTCACTGACTCATTAAATGTGGTATTTTGGGGTCTTTGTATGTGAAACTATGTCTGTCTGTAGGCTTTTGTGTTTTCATAGCAAATTTCTCAGTATCATGACTGACCCACTTTTCTTATATAAAAATAATTCTATATACTTGGAATATATCTGTTTCTTCTGTAAGTCAGTGCATATAGAATGACACTGGCAGTGTTGTAGTGCTGACCAGACACATGATGTAGGGGGAGATAATTTGTACAGCATGTTTCCTTATTATGTCCCTTTGACCACTATTTACATGTACTGTGTCAGCTTTGTTCACCTCAGGTTCCTCTTAATGTCTGAGCTTCTACTTTCTTAAACTATTTAGAGAAGAAATTACTTTGAAAACTTTAATGATTTTGAATGGAACATTTTTTAACTTCCCTGACATTTTCTATACTGTTTATTGTGAAGTAATGATAAACTAGTTAGCGATGATTATTTTTTATTATGCATTCTAATACTCCAAGGTAAAACGTTCAGGGGTATAGAGTAGTTATACTAAAGAATTCCAGCAATATAAGACTAAAATTTGTTTAAAACTCAAATTTGCTGACATTAGCGACTAATTGGCATCTGTACAATATCTTACGGTATGTTTACCTGTGCAATTATGCATGAATCCTTTTATGCAACTGTGCATACTATGCAGGGTGGTGGGATATCCCAGTGCTTAATGCGTTTGTTCATCTTGCTTAAGACCTAGGGTTGATTCCCCAAATGGAAACAATGTGTGAAGCCCTTTCTTAGTGTCCCCTATATTGCTGGAATGATGCAAAAACTCACTTGCGTAGTATGCATGTAGCATAAAAATGCAATCTGCCAAAATAATGTGTTGACATTATACTATTAAACCAACTGGGATTTTATTGTAATTATTGGGCTCTTAGATTTACAAAACCTGGACTGCCATTTCCTAACTTTGAAAGTAGAGTTTGTTCGTGTCCAGTCGGAATGTTTCTTTTGTGAATATTCAGCTCTGATTACATTGCGGCTTCAGGTTACTCTGGGCTTCACTGAGGACATGGACATTCAAAGGCCGGACGATCTGGACTTGCAGGTTCTCCGGAATGTCCGCTTCACGGCCAGCAAGTCCAAGAAGATGATGGGGGAGCTGAAGAACCTCAAGGCCAAAGTTTACGGACTTGAAAGTGACCTCAAACACTTGTGACATCGTTGACAGACTTTTAACAAGTTCATTCCATAAGTTATTGCTCTCCAACCACTGTGATATGTCAGGTCACTTGCTGATCAATCAAAACAAAGACCATGGTTTTGTTAGCTGTACCATTTTAATGTCATAATCTGATAGCTTTCTGTGTCTTGCTGAATCAGCTCAATCAACTCACTTCAAGTTTGGGGGCGGTGGGGTAGTCTAGTGGTTAAAGCGTTGGCTAGTCACGCTGAAGACCCGGGTTCGATTCCCCACATGAGTACAATGAGTGAAGCCCATTTCTGGTGTCCCCCGCCGTGATATTGCTGGAATATTGCTAAAAGCGGCGTAAAACCAAACTCAGTCAGTCACTTTTAGTTTGGCCCACCTCATCATCAATAAAAGCTATTGGACGTCATCATACTTAATAGCTATGTGACCTCATTATCAATAATAGATATTCATGGTAATGTAAATCTTATGAAGTATTTTAGCTACAGAAATAAAAGCCAGTTCCGTTAAAATGTGGATGTGGTCATATTTGAAAGCATCTTTTGTAGGTAATTTACAGATGTTGAATTTCCCAAATATCTGGTGTTCATACCTTACATACAAAGTTTGATCATGTTTTGTTTAAAAATATCAGCCCCTATGAGCATGGTCAAGGTGAAAACGAGCAGCAACATTTGGTCGATTTGATTACTTGAACCAAGAACAAATCATCCTAATTCTTTCTTGTATGGTAGCATGTTCTCTAGTTTGATGTCTGGAATGATGCCATACTGTCATGAACACCATTTGTCAAACAGTGAAATATAACAATACTCCAATTAGCCGAACGAGTGGTGAGTTTGAACCAGGTTGGTTGAAATCCCCTACCAGTGATCGAAGTCAACTGTTCATGACCTGATCCCTAAGTGTCAATGAGGCATTACTTCTTGACAACATGTGTTGAACATGACACTTTTTGTCATGTGCCACATCTTACATGGCAATGTGTCAGCTGATTGTAAAGTGGAATACTACTGAAAGAATTGGTAGGAAACAGTTTCGACATTTTAATGGACAACAGTTTTGAAACTGTTTTGGGACAAAGTTATCTGTAGGTTTAGAAATTCTGACATTTCAGATGATGTTCCTTACCAACATTACTTTGTCATGTCAGCGGTGATAGAGTCGATGCCATATAGAACAGATCTTCCAGCCAAGAGGAGGTTTTGTTTATAATTAGTATGGAATATTTGTACATAGTATTAGAGTTCAGGCTGAAATTATGAACACAGTTTTATGTTTAGCCTTTGCTGTATGTATTGAATAAATATTGTATAACATATTCTTGGATTTGTTTTCTTTCTTTAGAACACATTGTTCAATTTTCATTTTCCTCATCCAAACATTTCGGTTGGTTTGGTTTGGTTTTATAGTTTTAGGGCGACGTGGGCCAATAACATTTCTAATATGGTGAGAGTTACATCCCTTTGCATTGCCTGGATGGTGAGTGAATGTTAATCCATCAGCAATATTCAAGCTCAAACAACCAGCAAATCAAGCCAGGAATACATAAAGACGATGATCTTTACCTTAATGGCAACATGAAATAAACCCACAAATTTTGTCATGACAACTCAGTTTTCGTAATGCCTTCAGCTGGAGTAGTATAAGAGTGGGGTTTTTGCATCACATGCGGCTTAGAGGCTTATTTGTGGGAATTAAGCCTTCCAGTCCCCCTAAAAACGGCGATGGTCTATCAAGAGGCATCCTGTGATGTGCCAGTGGCCCGTACCCCAATCTTATTACTACTCGTTCTCTCACATATATATAGCTTGAATGCACAGTCACCTATACAGCCAGTCTGCTGGAGCATATAACAATAGAGTTATGTATAGCTGTGTGCTGCCCTGAATAGACCTGGACATGCGATCCACGGACAACGATCGGTTGCACGGCAGCAGGCGTGTAAGCCATCTATTGATATCGAACTGCCCCTGGATCCGCATTGCGCCATCGTGTGCGGTCAGACGGGGTGCGGTAAAACAGCTTTCGTGCTGGACCTGCTGGAAGGATACTATCTGGACGCGTTCGATCACATCGTCATTCTCTGCCCGACGTTGCGGGTGAACAAGACGTACACGGAGAGAGGGTGGGTGATGACAGACCCGGACGTGCACAGGGTGGATCCTGGAACGCGTCTGCAGGACTGGTTGACCGCTTTTCACGGTAAATTGAAAGGGGAGTCGACGCTGTTCCTCCTGGACGACTGCAGCGCCAACAAGGACATGGTAAAAAACGAGACATGCTGTCGTACCTGGCCTCACTACCGCCCTGTTTCACTGCAAGGACACGATTGCTACCGCGTGACAAAACAGCTTGCCGAAACGAAACACGCCAAACTCTTATTGAAAACAGACCAACCCGTAGCATATAAAATTTGCTAGCTTAAGCAAACTGAAGCAACATTCTAGCAAACTTAAGCAAAATTCTAGCAAAAAAAAATTAAGCCACATTATAGCTCGCATGTTCGAAATTTTTGTGGCGTGTCATTTGACTTTCCTATCGCTGTGCTTTGCGTGCGTGGGATTTTATTTTATTAGATTTAAAAATAGTTTGCTATATTATAAGATGGAGTGCAACGAACTGCTCGAGCAAATGATGGAGAATAAACACGACACCAAGCGGGAGAGACCGGTGGCGCTGGCGGTCGGTGGCAAAGCCAAGCAATACTTCGGCGGGGACCTCACTCCCTGCAAAATTACAAAAATGTTCGCTGAAGACATCGACAAGTTGTACGAAGCCCGACTCGGTGCCGAAATGACGAAAACCATAGGATCGTCCATGACGCAAATCTACGTAGGCATCGCGTCGTATTTCCTTCCCATTCCACCCGAACATCGCCCGTACATGTGGGAAGACCTCGAGAAAGATCTGTTCATCGACCACGCTTTGAGCACCGTCAGCTGCGAAATGTTTCATCAATATGGGATGCTGCTGGCTCCTCTGACCGCAGCCATCATCACGGCAAAGCATTGCCAATTTTAAAGAACAAAATATAAACCATACTATACAAGATGGAGGAACAACAACCGACGGAACCTGTCCTAGAACAACCACCAATGACGGAGGAGGAACCGATTAAGACCAAAAAGTAGTGGCGAAACAGAATAAAAAACGTGAATGGGTCCCGTACGCCGTAGAGGCGGCATGCATCACTGTCATGACTGCATGGCTGTACAAATTCAAACCGGCAGCAGCAACACCGGCAGCACCTCAATTAGAAATAAATCCTCATATCATTTTATAATTTTTGTTATTTGTATTTTTTTTTAATATATATATACACACCATGTCTAACCCCGACGGAAAAACGTTCCTCAACGACGCGTATCACGCTGCTGTGATCAGCGGACTGGCCATAGGCTTGGCTTGATTGAGCAAAATGATCACCAAACAACCGGCACCCAAACTCTATTTCAACCTGAAAGACATGGGCATACTCGTGTTTGACTTGGGACTGGCGATGGCCACCAAAGCGATGCTCGTCAAGCAAGGCATCATTCCGGAAAACATATTGAAATAAAAAGTAATAACGTACATATAAATTTGGCCATGGTCGCGATCATGCTCTGCGGGGCTTAAGTCAATGCTCTAGCCTTTTCGGGGAGCAATTACCTTTTTTCCCAATTAGGCACGTCAAAGCGGAACGGAAACGTCACAATTTGGCCGTGGAGAAACTGCAGGCCGCGCCAGCCGAGTACGCGAAAAAACGCATGGAAAGAATCGATTTCATCAACGCCCAACTCCAACGCGAAAACCACGCCCTTCGAACTTTCAAACGTCGACGACGCCATGCAACAATACTACCTGCCTAACGATTGGAACCTCTCGGTGACGAACCCACCCTCTCCCAGTATTACACCCCTCCCAAGGCACAGCAAGACCTGGGAGCTGATTTTTGTGGCCTTAGGATTAGCCGCCACCGTATGGATCGCCAAACAATTAGACTAAAATATTTATTTATGTGTATAAAATATATTTACATGTGTATAAAGATGGGACAACGTGCACCGTTTCAGTGTCAGTACATGCTTCTCGGAAAAAACGAAACCTGCGGCAGGAAATGCATCACCGACTGTTGCATCCACATGATGTCCATCAGAAAGGGTTTCGTCAACTACACGTGTGAAGTGTGCGGGATTGGCGTGAAATGTCATTATTGTCGTTGCAAAGCCCACGGAGCGGACGTGGTCCGAGGTCATCTCATATACTTGACGAAAAGAGATTATCTCAACGAACGTAAACGATTCTTCAGAATAAAAATTTTAAAAAAAGATTTTACGTGCGCTTCATTTCAGAGAGAAGGCTGACGGAGTTGCCTCCCTTGATTGAACAACCTATTAGACATTTGACTTCGCACTTGAATATATATATATATATATATTTTTTAAAGTTTTCGCACATTGATATAGCAACCGTCGGGGAACTCAAAGCGATGGCGAAAAACGTGGATTGGTGGGTTATTCTCGCATGAGGAAACCCCAACTGCTCACCTTGCTCGACATGAAGTATGTCAAGCCCCCTACCGTACAAGACCTCAAACTTCGAGCTAAGGAACGGGGTTGAAGGGTTATTCTCACATGAGGAAAGCCCAACTGGCCACCTTGCTGGAAGACACCGAGCCGGTCGAGTTGAGATTCGTGCCGACAGACCACGCAGTTTGTAAGTATCTGAGAGGCTGGAAAATGACTGTGCAGTCTGAGGTCAAACCTCTGATCGCCGACAAAGTCGAAGAAGTGTTGGATGATTTAAAAAGTATCAAATACCATCCACATGTCGCTCAACAAACAGCAGACGGATGGCAGTACCGAGTCCATCAAGCCTTACTTCAGAGGCAAGCAGGAAGTCATACTTCAATCCAACTCGATCCCTTCGACCCTCGATACCTCGCTACAAAAAATACAAGAATCGTTGGAACGATGGACGCACAGGGGCTCCGGGTGGGTGGTGGGAAGTATCAACACCATCTATTTGGATACAGTGAACTACGTACCGTTCAGAGGGGGAACGTTCCTAGACTTGCCACCTTACTACAGAAATAAAAAAGCCGTTAATAACATTAAAAATAAAGACGATTCTTGTGCAGTATATTCGGTGAGAGCTGGCTTATTTCCAGTAGCTATTAATAAGGATAGACCTTTGAGCTATCCCGAAGACGACGGGCTTAACTGGGATGGCTTAGTTAAACCCACACCCATTTCCTACTGGACCCGATTTGAAAAACTAA